GGTTTATGAAGTATCTCTTTCTGTTGAACAATCATCTCTTTCAGGCATTGGCTGATCTTTTTGGAAGCAAGATATTCTTCATTTGCACTTTTAACTGGATTGATAATATTTAGACCACCAAATCGTATAGGAAGTGAAAGGAGTGTTCGATCATCTGGATTGCATTGGTTTCTTCCAGTGAGTGATGGTATAAATGTCTGCGAAATTGCATCTTCCAGAGGTTGAAATAACTCACTGATGTTCTCAACTGTTCGCATTATATAGCGCCACTTTCCCATTATACAATGAGAAAATGGCGCAAACGCTGATTGGGGATAACGTTCTGCAATCTTTGAAAGACTTTCCATTTCTTCCACAAATACCCTAATCTTTCTTGCCATATACTCATGGACGAACAAATTGGAGCCAATTGCTGATCCCAACATTCCATGGCCTTCAGTTGTTATATTAATTTCTGTTCCTCCAAAATGGTTTATCGCTTCTTCCAAGTGCTGTGACTTAACCACAAGATACGTTTTACTTCCCTTTGGAAAATAACCCATCATTGGCCCAATGTCAGATATGTTTTGCCACCGTCTTCTTAAAGACTTTATTTTCCCACCACATGTAGCATCATCAGCAAACCACACTTGCTTGACTGTTGGTTCTTCTGATCTAAGCCTACGAATGAAAGGTGTAACTGCAAGTGCATGCATTCCCATTGCAAGCGGATCCCCTTGTGTAATCCCTTCTGCTGACTGAATTTCTCCTCCTCCAGTAACAAACAGCCTAACTGGCACTTGATAGGTATTATTTAGTACAGTTGATATTGAGGGACAAATTATTGCAATGTTATGTAGTGCTGCTTGCCGATTGATAGTGTTAAAAAGCATTGGTAGCATCTACTAGTAGTACAGCCTGTAAAATTCTTCTAAAATTCAGCTGGAAAAATTGAAATGTTTTTTCCTTTTCGCATTATTGTTATTTTATAAAAGAAATAAAGGATGTTTTTCGTGTTTGCACTGGCTTATGCAAACATCGGAGACGTTTGTGAGAACTCTCGAGCATGTGCAACCCTCGACATTCGGTCTCGGGATTGCACTGATTTGTTCACGAGTTCTCCCAAAGGTCTCCTCGGTTTGCATAGGCAAACACAGTCAACATCTTTTATTTCTTAATTGAAGAAAAAACGAAAAAATAAAAGTGTGTAATAAACAGAAGAAATGAAGCAATTTCATTGGTCGAGATTTGTGATGTATTAGAGGACACGCAGGAATTAACGTCACAGAAATTTCTTTTCGACAAACGGCAAAATTATGAGAATATATATCCGAATTTTTCTCTGAATGGGAAAATGAAGACTTTAAAAAGACAGAGTTGAATCAGTTGACATATTTGGGCAAAAAGAAAAGAAAAAACCCGGTTTTCGAACGTTGATTTTTACTTCGTCTTCGATAGCAAAAACATGTATCATGCACCATTTTTGCGTTGTTTTTGCGATTAAAAAGAAAGTTGGTTAAATATGTACAAAAATTTGTCTTATTTTAAGCAACGCCCTTTTAGTGAAAAAAAAACTGAGTTTAACATGCAAAAACATGTATCATGCAATATTTTTGCGTTGTTTTGTAATTAAAGAGACTCTGACTTTATCAAACGCAACACTTACAAACCCAACGAACCCAACGAAACGAACAACTCAGTGACAACAGCAACGATACCTTACATCAAAGGTACGTCTGAGATTATCTCGCGTATCTTACGACCATATAACAAACGTGTCGCACATAAACCAATCACAACGTTACGACAAGTACTAACGAACATAAACGACTAAGAACAACCCAACGAACGACAAGGTGCAGTTTACAAAATAAACTGCTCCGACTGCCACGCCTCCTATATTGGAAACTGGCAGGAACTTAAATATAAGACTTACTCAATACAAACGAGCTACAAAGAAACAAGACAAAACTAATCACATTGCCGAAAATCACCGAATCACAGAGCACAACATTGACTGGGACTCGGAAAATGCATTACTTGCAGTACTGACTATAGACAGCGACTTACATTAGAAAGTTGGTATACCAACTTGGAACAAACCCCCCTGAACAGATCACAGCAATTACCGGCATCTTGCAAACGACTTATTCACAATACAAACAAACGATCAATAAAAACATTACACCTCACACTAATTCACAATGACAATACACAATTGACACCCACACATTTCCTGTACACACAATAAAATGACGTAAGAACCAGATAACAAATACGGCTAACCTGACGTTTACTCCTCATTTGACTCTAAAGATGACTACTATTATAATTATTATTATTATTATCAATCTTTACAGAGGTTAAAAACATTTCAGTGTCAAGAACACTGTTGTCAAAATGTGACCTCTACTTACATGAATATAAACAATAAAATATATAAAAAGATTATTAAAGTACATACATATAAAAGTAAATATAGATAATAAGAGAATATAAAATAAAAAGAATATGAAAGTTATCATTTATAAAATTCATTTAATAGATTGAGAAATTTATTATAGTTTTTCTCATTACTTATTTCAAAGGGCATATTGTTATAAAGTTTTGTACCTTGAAAGTAAAAAGATTGTCTAGCAAAATCTAATTTGACTTTTGGAATTCTTATGAGAGATCCCATGTTTCTTGTATGACAAATTTTTGTTATTTATTTCAAAGTAATCATGGAAATTGGCACATGTTTTTTTGTCCAGAAAAACTGAGTTTAACATGCAAAAACATGTATCATGTACAATTTCTACCATGTTTTTTCGATTAAAATAAGTGCTGGTTAAATATGTACAAAATTTAGTTATCCACAAAGAAACTTGTCTGTCATTAGAGAGTTTGCATTAGAATAAGACTCGTCATCTTTTCCAAGTGTTCTCATCACATGAGTATCATGTTCTGCTGCAGGTTAAGCACTTTAAACCAATCTGATGAGTGATCACTTTTCAACTTAAGAGTATTTGCCAGAAACATAAGAGTTAATAACATTACTATTTTTTTATACGTGTGTGTGTGGGGGAGGAGTCATGGAGTAGATCTGTCTTCTATGTAAAAAGTTTTAATTAACTTCAAGTGGGTTGGCTGGTGAAGCCAACCTGCAACAGAGCTATGCTTGTAAGAAAGTGATAGTCAAGTTTGAAAAACTCTTGATTCTGCTGAATAATCAATTTCATTACCAGGACAGATGTATTATTACATTAACTACTTTAACTATGCAACTTATCCTTTATCAAAACTGAGATAATCACTTTTTTGAAACTGCAACAGGGTGAAAGCAAAAATTTAAAATAGACAAGAGACACAAGATTTAACATATTTTAGTATAACAATGACAGTGCTGTGGAAAAACATCCTTTTCTACTGGCCATTATAAATAAATTTCTAGCAAATCAGGGTCATAGAAACAGATATATCTGTGTGTAAATGATACTAACATTATTTGATTGATCACGTGACTTGTTTACGTTTTGCTAGGAGGCAGGTCTAATCGAGTGCCTTTAGACAACACTGGAAACAATGGTTAACCTTTTCTGGGATAAATCTGTCTGCCAGAAAATTGTAAACAAGCTTAATCTGAGTATTAAAGTCATCTATAAGCTCAGCTCAGTGAGCTATCAAGTCACCCGGTTCACCCTCCAACTGCTTGCTTTTTCTTTGTCTTCTATACAAGAATATCTCCCTTTTCCATGCTTCAATTTTAATAAATTGTTTGTTTTGAAATCATATTGCACTACAAACTGTACCACAACTTCCCTTTTTTGTGTGTGTGTCTCGCCATGTTGGATGAGATTTATTGTGTGGCATAGTGGCCAGGCCTTGCCAGGCCAGCTAAGCTTAGACCCCACTCCTTGGTTTTTCTTGTTGGTTATTGTACAAATTTTGTCTGGAATAATGCACCTGGCTTGACGCCATGACAGCAACGCTGCAATAACTTATTGTAATAGGGTAAAGACGTGTAATTGAATCAGTCGTAGACAACCGATTTGATATATTTTAGATTTACTTTGTTTTGTTTATAGACTCATGATTATAATATATTAATCCTAACACAGTTTTAATATGCACATGAAAAACATGTGACTTGGACGAGATTTGAACTTGCACCTTCGGGATACTAGTCCGCCGCTCTATCTGTTGAGCTAGAGAATCTCTCGTCGATACGCAGATTTAATAGATTTGACTCGTCTCCAATCCCTGTGGGCTCGGTAGCTCAACAGGTAGAGCGGCGGACTAGAATCCCGAAGGTGCGAGTTCAAATCTCGTCCAAATCACATGTTTTTCATGTGCATATTAAAACCGTGTTAGGATTAATATATTATATGTATTCTCTGATGATGGCTTCGGAATAAAGACTTATGCTTAGATAATTCAAAATGTCACCACATAGGAGCAACATCAACCAAAATAATCCGTCCTCCGAAATGCTCTCTCAAATAGAAAACTTTGTTCATCCTTTTTTGAAGATAATTTTTACGGTCATTCGAACCTTGGTTGAACCTTTGAAGTACCGGGAGAAAGTATGAAATTGCTACTCTGGAGAAACTTCTGAACGGCACTAAATTATATTTTATTGAAATTACCATGTTTGAAATTAAAGTGTATAGGTTTCTCTGACTAAATAGTGTTTATTGCTGTATGAACGAAAAATTTAGACAGTATTGTCAGATAAAACATTTGGCAAGTTATATAAATATTATTGTTCATTAAATGTAAAAATCCGGCTTTGTGTAATGTGTCATACAAATGAAGTTTAGCAAACATTTGTACAAAGAGACTAAAAAGATTTTGTCTAGTTCACCATACTTTCTTATTAATAAGAATGCATGTTGCACGACACTGTCGTGTTTCCATATTGTTTTCAGTGCTCAGAGGAAAAGAAAAGAAAACCCCAATTCTCTCGAAGAATACAGTAAAGCTGCAAAACCGTACAATGTTAATGCGCACAAGTTTTCCTCGGTTTCAAAGAAGCGGTGTTTTAATTCTGCAGTGTAAATTTCGGACATTATAATTATTCATTTCTTTATAAATCTATTTTTTTTGCATTGCGTGAACACTGCAATTGTTACATAGAGCACGACTAAATAAGGGGAATGGCTACGTCAATGTTTCAAATCATGACAACTTTTAATCAAAAGTTAAACGATTATACGTTGCAGTATCCAGACTAATTTCTCTTGTCTATAAGCAAGTTCAAGTTAGCTGGAATCATTGGTCGAATAGAAATTATGAATTTATATGAAAAGCCCAAATCAAACTGAGAGAAAAAAAATCAGGAAGCTGAACTTCTTGCAACCGAGGAGAGTTGATCACGAATTCTTCCTAAACCATCCAACATGGTGTCTAATGTCTTTTTGCTCAGTTCCACATTCAGACATTTTAATTCAGGCAACAAGTTGTCTTTACAAGCATTTTCTTGGATCTGTTTAAAGTTGATAATATAAATGTTAGAATTATAAAAAATAGAACATAAACTTCAAAGGCAAAGCTGCATTTTCTTTCCATACTGTAGCACAGGGGTTCAAAATGTGTCCGTTGTAACAAAAAAACTAGCTGATAAGTCTCCTTGTGAAACGTATTGACTATTGACGAGACAATCCAAATCTTTGCTAATAATGTTTTCTCTACAGACTTAGGGCCAGTTGAGATACATGACAAGAATGGTCCTAGTTACAAGCGAAATGAAAACTGAAATTAATGTGTTTGAGTTCAAGTCTGATGCAAACAAAAACTCTGGGCACTACAATGATGTTGCCGAGAAAATACTGTGATAAATCTCATTAGCAAAATAACGTAGTGGCTAATAACTGTTATAACGAGCATGAAAAAAACATTTGTTCAATACATATTATGCAGCAAAAGCATGGATATTATAGAAATCAAGCAAACATTACGTCTTCATCTGACACTTAGAAAACAATGCAAAAGAAAAACTGTCTGAAGTCGTGTTGACATAAGATGGCGCTATGAAAAAGTGTAAAACCGAAACGCTATGTTCAACGTTTAAAAACGCAACAAATTTATAATGTTTCTGCTGCAGTACGTATGAAAGCCTAACCGTAAGAACGCTAACGTTCGTCTCCGCCAAAAATGCCTAGGTAAAAAAAAATCGATAAACACGCTGATCTCGAAACAAAACTGGACTGAGCATCTATGAAAAAAGTCGAAGCCAAATTATGAATGCACAGAATTATGAATACACGACAAATGTATTGTGGATTAACATATAAGAGAATATCCTGAATTTCCAACATTTAACTACATAAACATAACTAAGGAACTAATCAGTTTATAAAATATGATGAAATATGATCAAAAATCCGCAATTTTGTTCTTAATAACTCAAATGTGGTAAAGTGAAACTATGGTAAACGACCCACAACTGCATGGAAATATCTTAAATCGCATGACCTGTCGTTAAAGAAGTTCTAGCTAATGAAATAAAATAAACCGACGACATTTGAACTTACAAACTTTTCTTACGAGTGAAAAGTACATGCGAGCTGTCGTTGACGGTCGATTTCTATTCCTGACTCCATATACTATTGCCACAACTGTTGTTTTACGTAGCAGTGGCTTCAAAATTTGCTTACTGCAAATATAGAGTTGCTTGATCCAGTGGATGCAGTCTTATTTCGAGATCAGTGGGATAAACATGGTGAGACAACACCAAAAGGAAACAAAATTCTGACGACTTTGTTTGAAGGTCTAAAATACGGAACTCGTTTACTCGCAGTCTTCCACGTAATGAATAAAACTATGTCCATATTAATTAATATTTGTGCGGACAACACTAAAAAAGCGACAAAGGCATTGAATATATTTACAACATATTCAAATGTGAAAAAAATTGCATAACCGTCTGAATAGAACAAATCAGCTGAGGTTTTGAAAACATTTTACACGGAAATGTTTTACAATTTCTGTTAGTTAAAGTGAATAATAAAACAATTGTCACATGAGACTGAGCATGATATCAGGAATTATTCGGAGCAAAACGAGGGAGGGCTTGTATTCACACATTCATGTTATACGTAATCGGTAATACGTAAAATTTGATTTCAACAAAAAATAAGGAAGAACATGCAAGTATGAATATAGCCCTTCGATCATCAATTTTCCAACGTCCATGCATAAATGACTCCAACCAGGCAGTATTGTGTGAACGTAATATAATCTTTAACTATGCCCAGTCTCTGAGAACAAAACGATCGTTCTCGTGTGAATCGTTATGAACTTGTTTAACACTGCATTAATCATTAATACAAATGTTTCAATAGAAATTACCTTGAGCTGCAGTAGACATGTTGGTACTGACATTCTTGTTATGGCATCTGAAGATGTTTTCACATCGACTCTCCAGTCAAAATCAGCAAGTTTGGGCAATGAAACTAAAATACAAGATATTCTTTAGTTTATATAAATCCCACAAAGCCACGCATTATAACATACATACATTATATGAAGGGTCGGATGGTCAAAGATCATGTGAATTGCCTGGTTTATATGTTTAATCAACAGTTTAGCAAAGGTAAGAAATATTTATACACAGAGGTCGTAATATCTAAGTACGTAGAAAGAAAAGGAGACGTTTATGTGTTTAGAAGATACATCTGAGGAGCAATTTCCGAAATTAAAAGCTGCTTAAAACATTTAGCAAAAAGCTATCTGTATGATGTGTTATATAATGTTAATGATGGTTTCAGTTGAAATTAAGATTATTAAATGTACTATTTGTAGTGTAGAAAGATTGTCAAGTCTATTGAATGTGTGTACCATTCCGCCATTCGTTTTCCGCTCACATTAAAAACCATTTTGGGAAAATCAAATCCAAAATTAGTTTTTCATTCAAATCAAAAATCGAATTCAAATTTTGTTTTTCATTTTTTTTGTGTTTGACGAAACTTTAAAGTTGAATCTAATTTTCGTTTTTTGTTTGAAATATAACACAATAGTTGTCTTTACTTTTAACAAAACAATCAGGGGGGAGTAAGCGTAAAATTAAGGTTTTGTGTAAAGAAATAACCACTGATCAACATAATGCATCCGCAGCAAATCAAATTACTATTATGGCCACTTTAAAGGATATTTTATAAAGGAATTCCTGTCAAATGGAAACAACACTGTGCGTGACCTCTCAGATTTTTTGTAAGAATTTTATCCTGATGCCTTGCACTATCGAACGTTTCTACTATGTAAAAAATAGCGGAATGGACATATTTCCGCTAAGATTTACCGAAAATGACTGCCTTTCCAAAAATTTCACAATTTTTCACTCCCCTAGAAGAAAGAGCGAGGAAGAACTATGTGTGTATAAACAACTATCTCCAAGGTTTACGAGAGAAAAGTTAGCTTATTAGTTATCATTACTTTTTTTTTCTTTTCGTGCAATGGACAATGGCTTTTTTCGCCACAATTGTAGGATTTGTACTTGTTGCTTTGTAAAGATTAATATTTATAAGATTTTCTGCTATTGAATTTCATCCTAAATTTCAAAGACTCAAGTTTGCATAAGTTTGATAAATGAAAACAAACAATATTGTACAGAAATCCCTCAGTAAGCTTTTTGCGGTGTTCTAAAGTGCAACTGCATTAAATACTTGTAAAGTTGTAGCACAATTTGATTTTGTTGTATTGATATGGGCAAAATGCAAATAATCATTAAAAAACGTCTGTCTGCAATGGTGTTTGTAATTCAATTGTGTTTTTAGTACCTCTACCCTTCTTTTTCTCTTTGTTTTGTCTTTCCTATACCTGCAATGTAAGTGCACAATTTGAATGATTAATAAAGTTTTCACCTCAATAATAAATTTTACAAGCAGTTGCTAGTGGATTTTGTTCTCTGAGTATCCACATCTGGTGTTGTGTTCATCCAAGAATGATGAAGTGCAAGTAGATATGTTATAGAAAAGGGAATAAAACCAAATGAATTAACTTTTGTGTACTTAAATGCTAGAAGCTTCAAAGCTTTTCAGAAATTATAAATTTCATAAATTAATCTACCTCTATACCATCCATCTCATAAAAAGAATCAAGAAGCAAAAAATTGAAGAAAAACTTTGAAAGTTAAAAAAATTTTCTTTAAAAAGCAGCAAATAAGGCAAATGGCAAATCTTCATTCTGTACTCTAATTGGTAAATCAGGTCATACTGTTTCTTAAAGCAAAAACTGAAATAAGGAAGAAAAATATACCACAGTAACTTCAAAGGTTTTATCACATGTAATAAATATTAGTAGCATTCAAACAAAACTCTACTAAATGATAGGATCATGACATGATTTGATCATTAAGTTACATAAAACCCAATTGATTATACAATTTGTAGCTTCACATCTGCATTGAGTCATCAAAAATCTCAATGCCAATGTTTACATAAACACACACTTTATGGCCATCCCATTTCACATGTTTGTGAATTGACATTTCATCAAGCATCAAAACACACACAACCTTCTTGCTGTCTTTCTTTGGTTCTTGAATCTTAATTTCAAGACATTCAAAGCATCCTTAGTGAATCAATCGTTTACATCTATAGAATTTGACCATGATCACATTAAATAATTCTGGTTAGTAAAGGCAATAAATCATTTATCTTTTCAGTCTTATTATTTTTTTGTAAGACTCTGGTCATTAACATCTTCCAGTCATCTTTGCTACCTGATCTTCACTGCATGTTGTCAGCAAATAGAACATAACAAGCTCTGCTCCAAATCATGGTTACTGTTTGAGTTGATCATTTCTTTTTGATATTTGCCCACAGAGCAAAATATGTGCAGAGTCTCTTTTTGCGTCAGGGAAACTTTTTGCAAATAGATTGGCAAATTCACCATTTCGTACATTTAACAAATAACAGAAAAGTATACTGAGTTTTTTAAACAAAAACAGGAACACATCTGTATATTTGGCGTTCAAGTCAGTTTTAAAAAATACGATCTTCAGACTTCATTACGGATATTATGGCTTTTCAAGTGTATGATCATAGGCGGCGCAGAAATCTGTTTAGGTTTTTGATGCAATCGATTTATGTAGTACATGTAGTTATGTAGTTATGTATGTTATGTAGTTATGTATGTTATGTAGTTATGGATTTATGTAGTTATGTAGTGAGTTACAGGTATGTATGGTCTTATAGGTCTTATATTTTGACAAGGTTGGCAACTCTCAACAGTAAATTAACGACCGTTAACACAAACACTTTTACAAAACCGTAAATATCTTATAACTACATGGAAAAACAGAAAAAAAACAAACAAATCTCTCTAATCACGAACAATTTTACTGTATTTTTGCAGGTTTTTTAACATTGAAATGTATTTCCTTGCGTTTGAAAAATGCGAATGTTTTTATGGTTTTTAACAAATATTCATCAAAACCTATGCTGGGGACACTTATCTGAACATTCGTAATATTTTTCAATGCTCAAACGCATTGCAGATTGGCTGAATTTTTGTGAAAACAATAAAAAAACTTTGGCCAATCTGCAATGCGTTTGACCATTCAAAAATTTCTTGCTATACAAAATTGATAAACATAAAACACAATATCAAATGCACGAGAGCATACTAAAGTTCAATAGACTTTCTTTTGACACGCTGTACAAAGAAAAACATGCTTCTTTTTGCTAAAAATCCCTCACATTTGATCTTTCCAACACTTTTCGTAGATGAAACTTTTAAGATAAAAATTTCATAGTACTCCCCCCCCTGATTGTTTTGTTCAAAGTAAAGACAACTTTGGTGTTATATTTCAGCGTCTGTTTATGAACTATAACTTGAGAAACAAAAAACAAAAAGGTGGATTCAAATTTCGAGTTTTATCAAAAACCAAAAAAAGAAAAACAAAATTTGAATTCGTTTTTCGATTTGAATTTTCCCAAAATGGTTTTTAATGAGAGCGGAAAACGAATGGCGGAATGGTACACACATTCTATTGCATTGTCCGTTTAGTCGTAAATATAAATGTTCACCTTGAGTGGTCATTGCTTGCTCTTTCCACCCAGTCCTAGAAAATAAAACACAGAAATATTTAAACAAGTACGCAAAGAGGAATTTTTATGTGATTACGCACGAGTCTACTTACAGGTTCTCAACAATGATTTTGGAAAGGAGATCTTTTAAATTTTTGTGAAAAGTTCCTGAAAAAAATCATTTGTAAGATCAAAATGAAACATTTCGCATCATAAATCCACAATAAGCATTTCATGATTTCGAACAATAATAAAAAGAAGCGAATACGTTTTACTGGCGACACAAACGGCACTAATCAAACAAAAACATAACAGTAAATGATAATTATTAAAAAAATCTATGAAATTTCATTGCAGTAATTTTCTCCATTGTTGTAAATAACCGACCAAAACACTACAAAATTAAATTTTAAATTTTCACTAGAATATTTTATGCCGTTTTTAGAGGTGTCGGTTTGACACATTATCTCGTCACTAGGCCCCACTTAGTAAATAGAGAATTATGAAAGTGTCTTAAAAAAAACAAATACCTTGTACAATGGTGAATGGTCAAATTCTAACGAAATAGTTCTTAAAAGAACTGTTTTAGCCAGAATACTAAACCAACAATTCTAAACGAACGGTTTTTTAAGCTAAAAAGACACTATGCATTTCGTCAGACTACTCGTCAGGTGTCAACGTCAGGTAAATGAGAGCATCAGCATCATGCGATATTTATGATATTACAAAAAATCAACGTCATCTCTTAATTGAGAGTTGACACTTAAAACAGAGATAAATGAAACACGTAATCTTTCTTCGGCTGAGGACGGGATTAGTCAACTTAATTAAGACTCTTTCCATGACGCTTAACTGAAATAATGAGCGACATTTTTAAATAACTCTAAAGTTATGATCAGAATATGAATTGGCACAGTGAGTATTGTTCAAAAGATGTTTTCCAATCGCTGAATCACATAAAATCAAATTTTTACTCTTACAGTCGCGTTTTGTTCATACAGGAACAGTTTCATTCCTAATAGAAGCTGTACATGTTGTTTTATTTTATCACTCAAACTTTGAGAAGTTCTTCCTAAATAGCGAGCATCACACTTACATTTAAACTTATACACTACATTGCTTGACAAGGCAGAGACTTCTAAAGGGGGCAGAATAGTTTTTTCGAAAATATGAAGACAACGCTGCAGGCGAAAAACAACTCTCAGTAATAATTTTAGTTTCCCCCACCATGTCATTTGAGGCCTTACTCATCCAGGAAAGTTTAAAGTAATACAGGGCACTTGGCCGGTTCAAAAGGTTTATCTCGTTCATTCAAAGTTGATAAGAAAAGTTTGTCTAGAAATTTTGCCAGATATTCATTCGAAACAAAATTTTGCAAAGTCTCTGCTTTACTAATTATGAAAGTTCAATAATTAAGCGATGTAGATATATCTAGAAAGCTTTTTAGTTTAACATGAAGAACTAAGTCGAAACAAACAAAACAAACAAACAACATTTGTATACCGGCCAGTATTAATCCCCGCCAGGGGGGTTGACCGGTCCATGAACTTTTCTACGCCAAGCGTCTCTATCTCTCGCCATATCACTCGTTATACCCATCGCCTTCATATCACTGTTCACAGCATCCATCCATCTCTTTCTCGGTCTACCTCGTTTGCGGACTCCATCAACATTCATATGCAACGTTCTACGAATTTCAGCACTTTCTTCCCTCCTTTCCACATGCCCAAACCACCTCAAACACTGGCGCCTTACCCAATTCTCGATACACTCAACACCAACTCTCTCTCTAATCTCTTCACTTCGAATCCTATCCATCAACGTTACACCACACATCATCCTAAGCATTCTCCTTTCCGTCGACGCCAATCTTCTCAGGTCCTCTGCTTTCGGCGCCAAACACTCTGCTCCACATCCCAAAACACTTCTAACACATGCCTTGTACAATTCTCCCTTCTGCTTCAACGAAGTCGACTTTCCGCACAACATTCCCGACAACTCTCTAAAACTCCACCACGCTGCTTGAACTCTGTTCCTCACCGCTTGCTCGCACCCTCCACCATCATTTAACACATCGCCCAGATATTTAAACTCCGATACACCTTCCAAACTCACGTCACCCAGTTCAAACCGTTCAATCGCGACTCGCCCACCACTTCGACACGTCCCGCACTCAAAATCAGTTACTCTTGTCAATGCACCACGGACACCTGAACATCTTCCATGAACCCACTTACTGCATTTCCCACATTATCGAATTCACTCCAACTCTTTTCCACACACACCACATGGCCATTTATCACTGTCCTTCACCTCCACCTGCCTCGAGCATCTCATGCCCTTCGTCTTTGCCTCATTCACTTTCAGTCCCTTGACTTCTATTGCCGTTTTCCATTCTCGGTACCATTCCATGACTTTGTGCTTCGACTCCGCCACCAAGACAATGTCATCTGCATACAACAAACACCAGCATCCTTCTTTTCTTCTCACTTCCTCTGTCAGTACATCCATCACACAAGCAAACAGTAACGGCGACAAGACTCAACCTTGATGAACACCAACTTTTACCTCAAAAACACCAGATCTAACACCTTCCTCCGTAACCACCGCCTCTACACCTTCATAAGTCTCCATAACTGCCCGAACTATATTCTCTGTCACACCTTTCTTACGCAGCGCGTACTCGATCACCTTTCTCGGAACTCTATCAAACGCCTTCTCCAAATCTACAAACACCATATACAATTCTCTGTCTTTCTCTAAAATTTCTCCTGCAGCTGCCTCAACACAAAACACGCATCCGTCGTTCCTCTCCCCGGTATGAATCCATACTGCTCTTCCCCCATCCGAACAACTTCCCTCAACCTTCTTTCAAGAACTAAGTCGAAAGATGATTAGTAAATCACAGAGACCTTAGATTGCGATTCTTGTGTAAACACTGTCATCAAAATTAAATAACAAATCAGCAGCAAATTAAATTATTATTTGTATCAAGCGTTACAGCCGACCGAAAATATGGCACGAAAGACGCATCTCTAAACGTAATGGTTCAATAAGCAGTGCATAAGGCATGAAATTTAGATCTTAAAAGTTTCATTCACGAAAAGTGTTGGAAATCTAAATGAAATGTGGGGGATTTTTAGCAAAAAAGAGGCATGTTTTTCTTTGTACAGCATATCAAAAGATTTTCACCGTCATTTCAAACGAAAGCAAATGAAACAGCAGGTTTTCTCCGGGTATCATACCACGACAGACAATCATCAACAAATGTAGGTCCATTTGAGAAATAACATTTGAGTAAGATTTCCAATTTTTTTCGTGGACAAAACTTTAAAATCAAAATTTCATACCTTATGCACTGCTTGTTCAACCATTACGCGTTGTGAATGATCCATCTTTTATGCTATGCTTTCTGTCGGCAGAAACGCTCGATAGTGCGAGCACTAAATTCTCCTACATCAGGATAATGCTCTTTCAGAAAATATAAGAGGTCACGCACTGTGTTGTTTCCATTTGAAAGAAATTCCTTAATACAATATCCTTCATAATACAATAATTTGATTTTCTCCTGATTAGTTATTTCTTTATACAAACCTTAATTTTACGCTTACTCCCCCCGATTGTTTTGTTCAAAGTAAAAACAATTGTGGTGTTACATTTCAGCGTCTGTTTATGAACTATAACTTGAGAAACAAAAAACGAAAATTGAATTAAATTTTCGAGTTTCATCAAACACCAAAAAAGAAAAAGAAAATTTGAAATCGTTTTTTGATTTGAATGAAAAACGAAAAACGAATTTTGGATTTGATTTTCCTCAGAGGAGGATCCAGGATTTTTCATGCGTATGTCAAAAAATTATGACGTCATACAAAATATAATATGACGTCATACGTCAAAATGTACTCATTAAAACTTGTAAGTACATCAAGGTGGCAATTTGCAGTTTTAGGGGATAACAGATAACAAAAATAGACTGTTTTTGTTTACATTTAAGGTTCAGCAGTATTTTAAGTCTTTAATTTATCAAATATATTAAAAATATGATAAAACATAACCCAATTTACACATTCCATAAAAAGAATTTTCAATCTTGTTATGGTGTTATAATTCTCACACAGATTCTTCAGTAATAAAATTGTCCTCATTTAAAAAAAAGTTAAGCCCCATTAAACAGAGAAAAACATTAAACAACAAGCTATTATTTTTACTTTAGTTGAAAAATGATTTAACAGCATTTAAGAATATTACCATCACAGCAGGACAGAACATGTACATGTAGTATTAATTTTCAATTACCCACCAAAATTAACCATTTTTGACCATACAATTAAGTAATCATCAAATCAAATTTGAATTGACTTTCATATTTGAAATTAAAGAAAAAATACCAAAAAAACTGCCCAACTATTGTCATTACATTTTGATATATCATACGACTTTATTTAATTGTCCTCAGCAGCAATGCTGCAACAGAATGTAAACATTCCACATGAACATGGTTTGTTAATGGTTATACCAAAGTAATCTGGACGTCACTTAATAACTGACATGAACCATGTTCCATCATAATTATATTGGTTATCCATTCAAAAAATCAAGCATTTGCTAAACTATTGTCAGACGTACCAAACCAAAGAAACAATTTTTAGCTTCGTACATATTACAACAAAACAAAGCAACATTTCATCTCAAAAACTCATAAGGTACAAAAACCCACAAAAACAGAAACCTGGCCATTGCTGTTGACATAGACAACAAATGGCAATGTTTTAATATAACAAACAAAATAAATGGCACTGTAAGCCATGAAGAGCACCAAGTCAACAAAACTTAATTATTTATACTTAAATTCAGAAAAAACAACTATTTTTTGAAAGGAGCTATAGTAAGCCAATGCATAAGCCATTGTGAAATGTGTTTAGCATGTTTGAGAAAACAATGTAAAAAGCCAATTTTCAGCCATGGTCGATTGGTGAAAAAAATTTCGCCACTAAAAAATTTTACGCCACTTTTTGTGTTTTTTGGCCATATTTATGCTCATCTGGCAACCCTGAATGCAATAATATGACTGCAGGTCCCCTGACTAAATCGTCAATCCATCAGGCCTCCCCAAAGATCCATCAGAACTTAAAGTTTCCTTGGCAATTTAGGAATTGACCAATCAGAATGCTATGAATTGATTTTTTGATGGATCTGTAGGCTGGCCATTTTTGAGGTAAACATAGCCGACCTTAAAAACTGGCTTAGCTCTCAGGCTCATGGATTCAGTTTGTTTCGTTTCGCTTGACTTAGCCAAAGTAAAATACGTGACAATGAATGGACTATAGAAATGAACGGTAGACATTGTCTCAGTACGAATAAATGATTGGACAGTATTTAAGTACCAAAATTTAAAGCACATCTGCATTTTGTACGTTAGTCGCATGACTGATTTGACGTTCCCTAGATCCGCGCCTGATTTTCCCAATATGGTTTTCTAATTTCAGCTGTATGGTTCACGCATTAATGACGCCATACCCTCGCTTTTTATCGGATTCACTTCATCATACATCCTACAAACACTTAAAATAATTTGTGGTTTTGCATTAATAAACTCTAGATAGAATATACTGTATCTTGACTCAACATTACTACAAAATAGTGTTAGGGTTAGGCTTCCAAGGTAAAACGTTTTACGCTGACATTGATGACAGTTGACCCATTGTTTAGATCTACGCCCATAGATAACCGGAAATTATAGACTATTCAAATACTTGATACCAGGTAGTGTAATCTTTAACTTTTAAGCTCTAAGCATAATCCTATCTAGTAATATTCTGTATGTTCTGTAATGTAATGTAAATAACTGTAATGTTTTGTATCTCAACAACAATTAATTATTCATCTTCATTCAAAGATAAAGTAATTGAGTTTTTCGGAAAAATAATGAAGTGAAGCCAACGGAAAGCAGTGAATATTTGAACGTAAGAAATGACGTCATGTTAGTGGTTGAAAACAAGTGAAGACCTATGATAAAACATATTTAATGATTCCAAAATTGTGTACAAGAGACAAAAAAAATTTAAACTTTGCGCAGTTGCGTTTTGTTTTTGAACATTTTTATCGCAGCTAGTGTTCACTGTAGAAATGAACGGTAGAAATTGTCTCAGTATGAATAAATGATTGGACAGTATTTAAGTACCAAAATTTAAAGCACATCTGCATTTTGTGCGTTAGTCGCATGACTGATTTGACGTCCCCTAGATCCGCGAAAAATTAACCAATGACAAAAAGCTCCATTATATGGCATTTGTCAACGTGTGTGTTCAACAATTTTAAGATTCAGTGCTACTAAATTTGAGCAAAAAAAAATCACCTGGAAATATTGAAGCGATAGATTGTCGATCACCTAGGCCTTCATATAAACAATTCTTGACTAGCATTATCAAGCTTGAAAACAACTGACCAGCCTCTGTTGAATCACAATCTAGTACATCCGTGATTGAAATAAAAGTTTCAGCATTGACTAAAACATAAGAAAATGAAAATTGTATAAACCCATGACTTTATTTAATAACAGGTAAATTCACTTTTTTCCCACATTTGAGGAAATTATTTTGCAATAAGAAAAATTTTAGGGTCATGAATAGAATTAGCAAGAAGCTTTGCAATTTCCAGAAAATTATCGCTAATATTAGTAATGCATGGCCAACAAAATTTGGTTGCTCTTAAAGACTTTTTTAGAATTATACTTCAATACATGTCACCATCCGTCTGCCCTAAAAACTATAGACAAATCAAACAAGTGTCAATGATTGACCCATAAGGCTATAAATTCACAGACACTTTAACATCTTGTACATGCTTGAGTTGTTTTGGTGTTCTTCGATTTGAAATTATAGTTTTAATACATAAATCCAAGTTTTACATAACATTTATAAAGTTGTAAAGTACAACTTGTACTTATCATTAAGGCAATTTTTAAAATTACTGAAAATGTAATATAATGTCCTTATGTAAGTATTTAACTGGAAATTAAAGAAATGAAAGTTAAAAAGTTCTTTGGCTAAAGACCTTACTCTGGATATACTTAAGCTGTATAAATTACATGACAAGTATATCGACACTTAACTATCACAGCATAAACAAACAGTAAGATCATTTAAGCACTGTGCAACATGATCTGTATATTTTAGTAAAATAACTGGCTGTCATTTAACACATCACAATTTATAGTATTTAGAAAATGCACCTAACTGGCTGCCACAATAGTAATGACATGCAAAATAATAAGATATACTTTACATGACATATATTAGAATGAATAACAACGAACCTTTTCTATTTCTTTTGTCAAAGGCATCAGAGACAAGTTTTGCAACAACATCTTTCGATTTTGCCTAAAGAAATAGATGTAAGTAAGTAAATGAATCTTATGATGTTTAAAGTAATGGACACATTTTATGCTGTATTTTGAGGGTCAAAGATGAACTATACATATATGATATAACACAAAGGAAAATGTAAAACATAACCATGTGAAGAGTAGGTGAATAAAATGATTGCCCAAGTTCGTAAAAAAATCATTTCATTATTCTCAAACTGGCAAGTGAGTAGCAGCTGAACCAATCAAAACTTGCACTAAACTAAATCCATGAAGAAACCAATTTTTTTGAAAGTAAATCGTAAATTAAACTTATCAAAGGTTAGATATAACATTTTGTTGAGAAAAAGCAGTAAATAAAGAGTAAGAGACTAGGAGTCAATTCCTTCCTCTTGATGTCTAGCTTAAGATTGTTCAATTGTTATATATTTTGATGTAAAGATAATGGTGTCCAATTAGTGTTTGCATTATCAATGCTTAGCAAACAACCAAAAATGATATCAAATTTAATAGTTATATAAAAAGGTATTTCACTAGACAGTCATTACTACAATCTCAATGAAGGTCAGTAGTTTTCAATCTTTTCATTTAATTAATATTCTGAGAAAGATTGAAACAGATCACAGACAAGAAATGCAAAACAAAGCAGTACAATGTACAGTAAAAAAGACATTCATTTACCTTTAACAACAAATTTAGAGCGTCGAAATCTATTTGACCAAGAACTACCATGATAAAATATTTATTTTCTGATTTCACGGTACGAGGAAAACTAAAGTTCGTAATGATTGCAGCAGAACCAATGTGTAGTAGAACACACCACGTGACTTTCGCTCACGGGTGGTTGACAGTGGTGGGTTTACTGTTTACTATCAACATTCACGGTTTGATTGTTTTGTTTCCCGGGAAGATTTCAAAATGGCGACGGTGAGTGAATATTTATTAAACCACGTGCTTACTGTTCTTCACAACTTATTTTAAAAGAGCCTAAATTTTAGTAGTGCAGAGTATTTTATTTTTCCGAAATTTGCTTTACAATGCCTCTAAACGCTCGAACTTTGTGTCTTCTAACTCCTCTCAAATTTATATCTGTTTATGGTTTATAAGCTTACTCAGGTGAAGCTTTAACTTTTAATTTTGTTAATGTTGTGCTTGTGTAGGTCGCAGCAGCAAAAGTCCAGGAGGTTCGAGACATTACACGAATAGAGCGAATTGGTTAGTAATGAATACTACTTAGTTTTTCACATCATTAAATAGTCAAAGATGTTTAAGGTTAAGGTGTTCCTGTAATCTTCATTTGCTAGTAAATCATGTTGATGGACTGACACAAAAGAACATCTTATTAATACTATTAGGGTTAGACTACAATTGAAAAAGACACTCTTTCCCTCATGAATGTAGTTTGCGATGTCTTTTCATATGTTTTACCACAATGATAATTTTCTTATTGATTTTGGTAACAATTTGGGAAATTTACTTAAATTTTCTCATGGTGTTATTGAGTGGAATAATTTTTCTCAAGTTGCGCACCCAAGATCTTGACACAACACAAACTTTCCAATCTGCTCCATTCCCCCTCATTTCTCTCTTAAAGACGTGATTACGTTAATTGGTTGATTGTATGAAATACATGTTGATCATAAAAATTTTATTTAGTAGAATAACTTAAGTGTATTGACAGATAAGTTTTGATGAAAATGCTATTACTATTGGGTCTTGAAGAGCTTAAGATGTTGAATGTAGCTTAAGAAGTGCTGTATTATTTGAGCATAGAGGCATATTACTCCATATTTTGTTAGTTCCACTATTCAAGTTTTGAAACATGGCTATTCAATTCTTTGAAAAGTATTCTTCTCACAACAGACAAACTCAGAAAAAATTTGGATGGTTATGTCACTGTTTTATGTGCTAATCTTTCTCTTTTTCTCAATGTGAAAAAAAAAATTCTAAATGTGCCAAACTTGCTTGGCTGCCAACATCACAGAATACAACACTTTTCTCTTCTTCATTGTTCATGATTGCTCATTGTTTTGCTTTTGATGGTGTGTGCTGGTAATTACAGAGAAAATTAAGCAAATTCAATCGTAAAGTAAGCAGTATGGATGTGTGCACTTGAGTAGCTTCCTTGCACTATTCAATTTCAACCTCCAGAGCTCATCTCTAACTGATTTAAATAAATTTTCCAGCCAAGTTTAAGTTTGAGCTTGCTTCCAACATTAAACACATGATAAGCAGTATAAAAGACAAGAACTATCCTAATGTTCCAGATTGTACAGTACTTTAAATGGAGCATTTTTCAATTCGTTTCAAGTCAAATAATGCCATATAATAAACCTTTTAATAACCTCGTTTTCTTGGTCTTCACTGAGAAACATCGGACCTCTGTCTTTTTGTACAATCTGTATTACTCATTGTACTATCATATTTACATCAACAACGTATCAGTTAAAATAACTATGTATGTTATCCTCTACCTACAAAATGTTCATGATCTGAAATGTATTTTGTATCAATCTTAGTTTATTAATACATGATTACATTTAATGATGGAGTTTAATTGTTGACAATCATTAAGAAAATGAGGGTGAAGAGATTTATTTTCAATTTAGTTTTTATTAATTCTTGAAATAAAGCATTCTTGACATGCCAAAAAATATGACATTTATTTAAAGAGATGTGTTATAAAGCATTCTTTGAAAGTATGATATGATAATTTAGCTCAATTGTTGCAGTTATTATTTAGTGGATATTATATTAAATATTGAAACATTTTTTAGGAGCTCATTCCCACATTCGTGGTCTTGGTTTAGATGATGTTTTGGAAGCCAGGAAGGTATCACTTACTTTTAATTATATTGTGTAAACTTGAAATCATTTTTCTTGAGTTAAGTTGAATACATGAACACATGTATTTTAGAATTTTCTGCATGTTAATACATCCAGTTTTTGATGCTGGTACCAGTATGCATTTAAGAGCAAAGATTTTTGTCTGAACAATTGGTGTGACTATACATCTACCTGTATTTTGTATATATTCATTTTATGTACTTTTCTTCACAATATGTGACAGACATCAGAAATCTGCATTTTTTCTGTTGCTTGATGTTTGAATAAGTGAATATTTTATTTTATGATTATGGAAATCGTATCTGATTCTAATTCTTTTGATGGTAGAATATAAAATTTCAAAAGATATGCATTTAGCAAGTCATTCTCTCACTGAGAGACCGTCAATTCATTGTTGCATGCTTGCAAATACTGGGATTTACTGTAATTTGAAACTTCAATGGCTGTTTTTGTAATCATCAACTTCATCAGCTTTGTTTGACATTTTTTGTTTCCAGGTGTCTCAAGGAATGGTTGGTCAGGTATCTGCTCGAAGAGCTGCTGGAGTGATCTTGGAAATGATCAAGGTTTTTATGAAAGAAATATGTAGTTTGACAGTTTTGTAGAAGCAAACGCCTTTCATGGTTTGGAATAATTTTACAACATTATTATCCAATCTCCATCATGGGCCAGTTGTACGAAGGCGAAATAGCGCTATTCACTGGATAGCAATATTTTTAAACGCTTCAAAAATTCTTAATATGAAAAATCAACTATTGCAACTGGGCAATAAATGAAATAAAACATTGTTTCCAGAATGAAAAAGTTTCATTATCGCAAAAAAAATATGTATCATCACTTTTTTCACAAGTTTAAATAAATGACTCTCCACGCATCTAATGGATAGCGTTATCCTAGGGTTGTGCAACCAGCCCCAATTGAGCAGGAAATGACAACCTTTATTTACTCAATAATAACACATTAATCATTATTAGGAGTAAACATATATTTTATAGGGAGGGGAAAGATTTACTTGGTAAATTTGGATTGTTATAGAATTATTTCAATGACACTTCACTTCAAATTTCACTTTGTACTACAGTAGTTTGAATAATTTCAATTTATAATATATCTATTAATAAGAATAAAACTGGGTTTTCACTATACAGTTCACCATTAATTTTTATGAATTCTGAGAAATTTTAAATAAAACAATATTGGAGTATATTTTGCCGACTCTGATTATTTTTGATAAATATTATACAAGGTGTAAATTTTCAAGAAGTGATGATGGAAGAAAAGCATGACCAAAAACCATCAGAACATAAAAATTGAGAGTGGTGTGTGTTAACTTTATCACTTATTTAGGAGGGAAAAATTGCTGGAAGAGCTGTTCTTATTGCTGGTCAACCTGGCACTGGAAAAACGGCATTAGCTATGGGTAAGACGTTTACAATTAGAGAACTTTTCTTAGAAAATTCTCGTTCGCTTTGTGTAGCGTAAGCAACCCGCAAGTCTGGTCAAATGGAATGGCAAAAGATTTCTAAAAAAATACGTAAATAATGCAAGTGATGAGTACCTTACATATCACTACCAAATTCGCGGGCTGGCTACGCTACTGGCTGTTGTAGAGGCAGAGAAGAAAACTAAATATTTGCGCTAGTCTTCATTCTTTCAGCAGGGGCGGATTTTCTTGGGTGTGTATGGTGTACTAACAACCCAGCCCCCAAAATTCTTTGGCACCCCTCGAGAAAAATTCTAAAATGGTATTATCTATTATTGACGATAAATATAAAAGTATTACAGGCTATGAAATTGTACAGTAAGACTAAGTAAAAGTAGAGTTTCTCATTTCAAAGGTATTACATATTTTATAGCACCACCATTTGCAATTGAATATTACCATACGCGTTTTCATCGAAGCATTAAAATTGAAATACATTATTAAACACGTATTTATTAACAAAAAGCATATAAATTTGTTTGAAAAGCTAGTAACACTTTGATGAAGGTTTACTTAACAACAGCCCGAGGCCCTTGCGACTTGAGCTAGGATAACGATGCACCCCCTTGTAAAATCTGCACCCTTCCTGTCTAAAGGCCGATTTTGTCGTTTCTCAAAAAACGGGTCGTGTGAACACATGAATGAGCATCCGACGGTCGGTCCGTAAGTCTCAAAAATCTGATGGAAATAGATCTTGCTCCATTTTCATCCGACTACATCAAAGAAAGCCGACTAGGCTTAAGTTTTCATTCTCAATACTTCCCAAATTTGAGCTAAAGCGAGAAATTAGATTTGAAAAAGACTTGAAAACAAGTATAAAAATACGCAAATATATCGTTAAATGTATTGGATAACACAAATGGCTGCTTTCAAGACTATAAATATCTAAACGAATAGAAATGTCAACAAAAATATTCGACCGTCTGAACAAGCAACCAAAAGTCGTCCGAACCGAAAGAGTGGGATGAAAAAAGTCGTGTGAACGGGCCTTACTAAGAATTGAACTGCCCTGTCTTGCAGTAAAGTGAAATTTGCATGATGAAAAAATTTCTTAACAAAGCACTGTTGTCATTCTAAACAATCGCCCGAAGACATACGAATCTTTATCCGAAAGTATAAACTTGTCGTGACTATTTTTCTGATGTGTCGATAAATTGTCTCGTCACAAGTTTTGGTTGTTGTGAAATGTGTCGTGTTTGTTTTATAGGAATGGCTCAATCACTCGGTCCTGATACACCATTCACTAGTATTGCTGGTAGTGAAATATTTTCCTTGGAAATGAGTAAAACTGAAGCTCTAACGCAAGCCTTTAGGCGATCCATTGGCGTAAGGATAAAGTAAGTCTTTGATTATATCTGTATTGATTGATGCAACCTCCGCTTTAGTCTCGGTTGTTATGAGAGACTTAAATAGTTTGAAACTGCAGTCAAATCTGTATTAAGCGTACACACTTAATGGAGGTATTCGTTTAACCGAGGTTTTCATCACCAGGCCCTATCGGTTAAAAAAATAAAATCAACTACTAAACGGTACAGATGTATTTAGAAATGACTTTAATGAAAAACAACAAAACTGAAAAATATTTTTAGTTTGATATGGTAACATATAGTAAGTAATATGTTGTTCAATGAAGATGTTGGGGTAATGTGGTCTCGTGTAAGTCTTTTAGACAACGACATGCTAGATTTGACATTGACAAGTGATGTTTATTAATAATTTGTAAACAATTTCATGTTTGGTATAAGCATTTTATCTTCAACGCACTTGCATTATGACAAATATCTTCATAAATGTTGTGACAATTTGTTTGTGACAAATATTATGTCTGTAAATAACATGAAATATTTTGAAGAATTTGTCTGTGAAGCATAGGTTTTTGTGTTATTATTCGACATTTTGGTGTCCGTGTCTGCTTAATAGAGGTGCCCGCTTGATAGAGGTTTCATTTCTACAAATTATACGAGATTTAATTCGAGACTTTACAAAGCGTCTGTTTAATGCAAGGTGTCCGCTAAGTGCAGAGTCGTTTAATACAGGTTTGACTGTACTTCATACCATTGATGGACATATTTTTCTCTATTACAACATGAACATTCCATCTCAGTACGATCTACATCTAGCTGCAAACTACAAACATCTAGTCTAAACGCAATGCCAAAAAACGGCTGTCGCTGTTTGCATTGAATACGTGCAGTTTGTATTGACGTGAATTATTCTGATTCGATTAAATATCCAGAAATTTTGACATTTGCCAAAGAATATAGCCAAAAACTGAAAAAAATGTAATTAGTAAAGGTATTTTCTTTCAACTTGACTTTGTCTTATTTTCCGCCGACTGAAAAAGGCAAAAAATTTCTCCAGCACTCTCCTATGATCCCGATTCAATTAGTGTGGCACGTGATGTACGTAGGTTATTCGAGCACATTTTGTTTCTGCGGCAGATTGGCAGCAGCATCTCCAAGTTGTGTGTGAGTGTTTCTTTTTCTATTAGAGAGGAGACGGAAATTATCGAAGGAGAGGTAGTAGAAATACAGATTGACAGACCAGCAACAGGAACGGTACGTATATGAGCATTTCATATGAGATTGCACATGACAAATAGTTTTAACAATGTTGGCTGTCAAAATAAAAATTGAAATTTTGTCGACAAATACTAAACGATAGTTTCTTTAAAAATGAGACAATGATTGCTTAATTAAAAATTGTGACGAGCGATAGAAATTGGGTTCGGACACTGACTAACTCTTCATCGACCACATCTTTTTTCAATAGCAGTTCCTTTGGTTCAGTGGTTGTTGCAGATTTGCTTAAGTAGGCAGTAAAGGGTTGAAGGCTTTTACATGAAAGGTTGGACGGGTGGAAATTATTCCTCAAACTACGCATATATATAGTCACATAATGGCGGTGTATCATTGGCCACTTATCTTCTGTCTTTACTTGTGTCGATGATAATTTTTTATATACGGCTTATGTTTTACTATTTGCGTATTGACAGGGTGCGAAACTTGGTAAACTTACATTAAAAACGACCGAAATGGAAACGATTTATGATCTTGGAACGAAAATGATTGAGTCCATTACGAAGGAAAAAGTGCAAGCGGGGTAAGACATTATTTTTGAGAAATAATGTGAATAGTCAATGTTGTTGCACGAAAAGGATTTCTGAAAATCTTTGAGTGTTAGGTTCTGTCATATACAATATCTTTCCTTTGTTTGACAAAATTGTACATTCAAATTGAATTTATGTCAAAATGATAATTTATATAATTTAGATATTCGAATTTTATTCGCATGAATGTTAATTGCCCCGGTATAGTAGAGTAATAGACAAATGGGTTGTCTTCTGTTTATAAAAGTTACCATATACATCTAAAAGTATCCATAATCTCCTTCATGTTTTATTTAAAAAGAAATGCTAATCACATCTTTATTTTTAGAGATATAATTACCATCGACAAGGCTACAGGCAAGATTGCCAAACTAGGACGATCGTTCACTCGAGCCCGCGATTACGACGCTATGGGAGCAGAGGTAGTTAAAATACAAAAGTACTTTAATACAGAAAATCATCATCATTGATTTTATTTTAAAGGCTTTCTCATTAGTTCCCACATACTTAGCAAGTGCAGCAAACAGACACCCAACTCCCAGTTGCACAAAAATCACTGGAAATTATCTTTTGTACAGTAGTGTTGTGCGATGCAAGTGCAAACCGACCTTAATTATTAAATAGTAAGCATGAAGGTGCGACTTTAAAAAATTCAGCCTGCAGTGGATTTAGCTGTGACTCGTTTAGATTTCTTATATTTTTTTTAGTTTTAATCCTTGACCTTACTTGAACCGTTCAAATACTTTTTCAAACTTATCAAAGACTGAGTACGGATGCCATTTACCAAAGACGTCTTTTTCAAACGCTTGCTAGTTATGTGTCTTTCTTTTTATCAGACCAAATTCGTCCAGTGTCCTGAAGGCGAACTGCAGAAAAGAAAAGAAGTTGTCCACACTGTGACGCTGCACGAGATTGACGTCATCAATAGTAGAACCCAGGGATTTCTTGCGCTTTTTTCAGGTTTGTAGGAAACGTTTCTCTGGTATTCTTTGGCGAAAAGTTATGACAACATAGAATTACCAATCACAATTGAGCTTAAATAATTTATTTGTACATTATACTAGTAATAATGACGAAACGATGGGGAATGAAGGATATGTGACATACAGGCTAGGTTTTCTCTTTTTGTGACAGTCTGTGCACAACATGGGTGGTTCTTTATCTACAGAAAATCGCTCTATATCCGCCATTTTTGCTTTATTTCTGTTTTAATTACATGACTTTAGTACAGGAATTATCATTTCAGTCTTTTTTGAGAGTTCACTGGCATTTGTTTCACATCCATAAGGATTGTTGCGTGCTTGTCTTCTTCGTCAGAAGTCGTTGTTCCATTTGTAAAATGGTCACTTTTTTGTTTTTTATTTTGCAAACGAAGGCCAGGTTTTATTTGGTTCCAACGATTAACACCGCGATTGTGGTTTCTTTATTTATTTCTTGTTTTGAGGTGATACTGGCGAGATTAAAGGGGAAGTACGGGAACAGATAAATGCCAAAGTCGCTGAATGGAGGGAGGAAGGAAAAGCTGAAATAGTTCCAGGGGTATGTTCCATATCTGTTACTTCGATTCGCTGATGCACGTTACTGGTTTATGATTGGCTAATTCTTTTAGAGTTTGGAAGATATGCCAATTGCCAACCAATTATTAACATTATCTACCTTTGAGCTATCGGCCCTGAACGACTGTTGTCACTGTATATTATTAATTTATATTTCCTAACACTATCATGTAGAAGTTGATATCGTTTTAGCGCTATATGCTGTAGATTCGCCACAGGTTCAAAAGTATCCGGGGGGAGGAGCGATTACCTCCTGTTTCTTGACTTGGCTAAGTGTTGAATCTCTGACGTATAGCACTATCCCAAAAACTACTGGTGATGACTGTTTATGTCAATAATACAACACATGCGCTGATTGGTCTACACGTAGCTCATTTTGCAAATCCATCCGAGCCCACTCAATTAAATCAATCAAAGAGAATTTGCGAGTCATTCATGAATACATGTTAGACGAAAAATTTAAGCGTTTGTTTTAAGTTCATCTGTTTCGCATTACTGTTATTTTGTAACAAAAGTACAAAATGTTTCTCGTGTTTGCACTGGCTTATGCAAATCTCGGAGACGTTTGCGAGAACTCTCGAGCATGTGCAACCCTTGACCTTCGGTCTCGGGTTTAAACTGATTTGCTCTCGAGTTCTCCCTCGGTTTGCATAAGCCTGTGCAAACACAGTAAACATCTTTTATTTTTCATATAATACTTTACAAAATTTATTGTGTGACAGGTTTTGTTCGTTGATGAAGTTCACATGTTGGATATTGAATGTTTCTCATTTCTCAATCGAGCTCTTGAAAGTGACATGTCTCCTATTCTTATCATGGCTACCAATAGAGGAATTACAAAGTAAGGAGTGTTTCACTGCATTTACCAAAATAAGTATAACTGGAACGCTACCTTTTGATCGTTTTGGCTTTACTTTTTTTTATATTTTAATGCAATGAATTTTTTATCCTATTTACGTTAATTTTTTGCTGCTGAAGTTGTGATCTAATCGAAAACAAACATATAGCTCTAACGAAAATAATTGTCAACGTAGTTATTGTGTAAATGAGACTTTTGTCACGAAAATTACGTCGAAACAAATGAGTGAATACGCGGGGTGCAGATATATTTCTGTTCATTTGCTTGAGAAAAACGAACGAAATTTTCTTAAAAAATTGTTCAAGGTTTATTGAAAAAGTTGACTCTTGGAAACAAGACGCGCGAGGAATAAGCAAAAACTTTCGCTGATTCCAAGTACTTTTCTCTCATCTGCCAATGTATTTTTTGAAAAAATAGATTTTTGACCATTGAGAGGTGTTATAGGTCCTTCAAACAGGCCTTGCGCTCAAAAACAATTTAAGCGCCCTGAGTCAAAATATGGACTGTGTTGTAAATGCAAGATCCTGAAAACATATATATTTTTCGCTTATGCATTTCAAACCAAGTTCTATTAGATTATTTCAAATGAACAACATGCAAGTTTAAGATTGAATCTTTTCTACGCCATGTCATCAAAGATATTTGTATCTTTTCAAAGCCGTCGTGAACTTTACAACAATGTTTTATGGCCTTAGTAACTTTGTATTTTTGCAATCGTTAAATCTATCTTATTCCTCATTTGCTGCCTGAAGGACTAAATGCTTATTAATTTCCCCCATTCGCTTTAAGTATGTAATTTGTTGATTCTTTTGCAGAATTCGTGGTACCAACTACAACAGTCCCCACGGCATTCCTCTTGATCTTCTCGATCGTCTTCTCATCATAACAACTACACCATATGATGAAAGGGAGTTAAAACAAATCTTAGCCATCAGGTATTTTTTTAATATTATCCTTGTGGAGCGGCAGTTCGTGCTGTATTTTACGGCTAACACGAGTGCTTATGAAACACGAAAATTGATTACTTTTGTTGAAAAGAACTTTTACTCTCAGAACAGATTCTATTGAAACAGTTTATATATGTACAATATAGTCACATCTCTTTTCATTCTCGTATTATTGTCAATAACCAGTGACGACCGTTTGCATCGTACATTAAAAAGTTCAATATCTGAATAATACAATAACTGCATAAACTGTTTACAGTGACTTTAAAAGTCAATTCTTTTCAAATAAAGTGTGTGTAATTTTAGTGTCAAAATTTTCCTTTAAACTTGATTTGAATCAAAAATTCCATTGTTGTATCAGGTAATTTGCAAGGCCTTGATTACAAGATTGTCCTTCCTCTAATTTAAATAACTGTTCTAAACCTTGTGTAACGTTAATGATGGTGTTTTAGAGTTCACACTCAAAGTTGGTGGTTTTTAAAATGTTAGTTTAACTTCTGTCACACATAACCATGCATGGATGATTATGTAAGTGGCAAAATTGGTAAGAAAACGGAATATCGAATTAAAAAGCGGCAACACGATCGAGCCTTATACCAGCCAGTTCACAATATTGAGATCATGGTCTGAACTTGTTAATAGATGCGAAGAAGAAGATGTTGAGATGTCTGATGATGCAATGGGCGTATTAACGAAAATTGGACAAGAAACATCTTTAAGATATGCTATTCAGCTTATTACTGCCTCCAGTCTTGTTTGTCGGAAACGTAAGGTATTTGGTCTCATAAAATTTTCCCTTGTTGATTACATATCCATTATTATTTATATTTGAAAATTTGGATGGCTTCGATTCAAAATTTCGAGATTTGTTGAAACCGGTTTTTTTTCGTTTCACCTGTCTTCCTCAAATAAAGTACGACATGAGTTTTGATTGCATTGTGCTTCTGAAATTTCTTGTGAATAGATTTTACCAACCATTATTATTTATTTATAGCCTCTTAAGAGCGGGCGCTGATTGGTCAAATGCTCGATAAATCTGTGTTATTATAACTCTACATAAACAAGCGAATTTCAGTCTTGCAGGTTGCCTGGTTAAGGCAAAAATATATACAATAAGTAATAATATAGAATTAATGATATTATCTTTTGAATATTGTTTTACAAGGCTATTCTATAAAGATAACGCAAATATAAAGTTAGAAACACTTGTGAAAGTTTTGGAGGAACTCGAAAATGCTTGGAAACACTCGCACTTCGTGCTTGACTCTAAATTTCTTGTTTCTCCTTAACTTAAGATTTGAATTTTGTTTGATGTCAGATTTGATTGAATGTGTCTGCCTGTTCTGTGTAAATAAAGTAAATTTTTTCTGATTGTTTTATAATAGGTATCAGGTACACCTACGTAAGGTGGCAGTTCATCAACTACTTTGAAATTTTCAGGGTACCGAAGTTCAAGTAGACGACATCAAGCGTGTATACTCTTTATTTCTTGATGAGTGTCGCTCGTCCCAATTCCTCAAAGAGTATCAACAGGAGTTCTTATTTAGTGAAGAAGCCCCGCCACCTGAAGAGCAAACTCCTAATGACTCGATGGAAACAGAGACTGCAGCATGATCAAGTGTTATGTCTTTACCATAGTAACTTAACGATTATTATCTTCATGTCGAGTTTTTTCATGGTTGATTTTTTCTTGTTAAGAAATAGATCTTGGTTTTTATACAACGAAATAGAAATAGAAAGTGGTTTTTATACAACGAGTAGACGTTTACTGGCGACAGACGAAAGACCTAGTGTCTTTTTTGGTCGAGTTTTTTGTCAGCTTTTCGAAGATCAACATACATTCTCTACATCGTTTGCTCAATTAGCTGTCAAGTGACAACGCTCTGGAAACCCTTCCACAGCAATGTGAGCGGGTCATTTTTGAAGTAGTGTAAGAAATGTTAAAATGGCTACCTATAGAATAAAGCAAACGATTAGAGAATTGCAAAAAGAATTTGGTTTGATTATTTATTCAAGCAAGGATCGCCTCAATCTTATGGTTTATTGAGGTGTCCTCTTTCTCCACAAAAGTAATTTCAACAATACAATTTATGATATCATTAGTGTTGACAATTTATATTCAAGTGTTGACAATTAGATCAGTTTACAACATACTATTTTTGGCTTTACAATGAACTAAGAAGAAGTTTAATGTTGTTGTAATATGTAGGTTAGCAGAAAGCAACATGCGAGCCCTAAGAAATAAATTAGACCTGGAACGAAACCACAGTGACAGGTCATCCAAATTACATTATACCATTAACGCAGTTTGTTGCCCAAAACATGGCTAGCGTCTGCTGTTAATCAAATCACACCATATATGGCAAATATTGCTTGCCATGTCAAAAAGCACAAGCGCGGGCTCATAAATTGAATCGTAAATCCGATTCGTTCACCTCTCAATGGTTCACTCATTTAAAATTTTAATATTGTCGAAACGGCGAACGAGTAAAAGGGCGTAGCCTGCAGGTGGAAACTTCGCAAATGATAGTTTTGTCGGACAACTTTCGAATACCAACAAAGAAGTTTTGCTTCGATACTGTGTAAGCTCAGCATTGTCTTGTTCAACCACGGCGATATCTTCTATTTTGATCTGTTCAGGAAGAGGGACAGAGGAGACGCGGGAAAGGGCATCGGCCACCGAATTCTGCTCACCTTGGACACTGCGGAGGTCTGCGATAAATTGGGAGATGAAATCGAGCTGACGAATTTCTCTGGAAGAGTGGCGTTTGGTAATGTTATGCAAGGCATAGCACAGAGGTTTGTGGTCAGTGAGAACATAAAAAGGTCGTCCTTCAAGGTGGTGACAAAAATGGCGCATGGGAAGATAGATGACAAGAAGCTCTCGACCAAAAGCACTGTAGCGAGTTTCTGCTGGTTGTAAACGTTTAGAAAAGAAACCGAGTGGTTGCCACATGTTGTTCACTTTTTGTTGTAAAACAGCTCCTTCAGCGACGTCTGAAGCATCCGTCATAAGGCAAAGTGTGACGCTGGGTTGTGGATGAGCCAAGAGTGCCGTATCTGCCAATGCTGTTTTGATCTTCTTGAATGCTGATGTAGCAGAATCAGACCAGTCAAGCTTAGAAGGTTGGGATTTCTTAGGAGAATCCGATATGCCCAGCATGTAGGTGAGAGGCTGAACAATACCAGAGCAGTTCGGAATAAAACGTCGGTAGAAATTTACGAGACCTAGAAATTCGCGGAGCTTGCGGAGAGAGTCCGGTTGAGGATAATTGCGGATAGCTTCGACTTTTGAGGGAAGAGGTTGGATGCCGTTAGCACTAACCATGTGAACAAGAGAGTCGAGAGATGTGGCTCCAAAATCGGATTTTTGGGGATTGATGATAACACCATACTGACGAAGACGAGTGAAGAGAAGGCGGAGATGTTGCTCGTGTTTTGTATTTGTTTACATCAATGTAAACAAATACAAATTCAAGGCCACGAGTGACTTCGTCCATGAAACGTTGAAATATTTGAGCTGCATTACGGAGACCAAAAGGCATATGGATATATTCGAAAAGATCAAATGGTGTCGTCACAACTGTTTTGCAGATGTCTTCCTTTGCGACCGGAATTTGGTGGTAAGCACGGACCAAATGAATCTTTGAGAAAAGAGTAGTACCATAGAGATTTGGAGAGAAATCCTGACGATGTGGAACTGGATACTGATCCGGTACAGTCATTCGATTAAGCGCACGGTAGTCACTACAGGGCGGTCCGAGCCAGTCACCGGATTGTGGCTCGGGAACCATGTGAAGAGGAGAGGCATACTGACTGCTGGAAGGGCGGATGATTCCAAGATCAAGCATTTGTTGGAATTCCTTTTTGGTAATTTTTAAACGATCAGGTGGGAGACGGCGTGGACGTGCAGAGCATGGTGGACCTTTGGTAATGATGTGATTTACCACTTGATCTTTCACTGGTGTTTCTTTGGTGGGTCGAGTGATCTCCGGAAAGTCGTGTAATACTGATGCAAAAGGTGTGGAGGATTGTGTAGCATGAACGAGAGAAAGGGAATTGATGTAGGGATTCCATTGACTCGAATGTGTGTTTCTGCATCAAAGAGACTTCCTGAGCGAAGGTCGACGAGGAGGTTGAAATGGCGTAATAAGTCAGCTCCAATGATTGCCTGGAGGACGTCAGCAATGGTGAAGATCCATTGAAAATGGCGTCAGCGGAGTCCAGGGTTGAGGGTGACAGACCTCTTCCCGTAGGTAGCAATTTTTGAGGAATTGGCTACATGGAAGTTATAATCTTGGCGCTGTCGTCGATCTGCTGGAAGTGGTGAGATGACGCTTACTTCGGCACCCGCATCGATAAGAAATCGCCTTTTGGTAGTCTGATCAGTGATGTAGAATAAGCGGGTTTGTGTTGAAGCGCCAGACGATGTTGCTGCGTCTATTGTCTGACATTGTTTTTGTGACGCAAAGAAAGTGCAAGGTTCAACACATTTTCGTGCAGCGGCATCGAATTGGTGATACCAGCAATGGCCATTGTTGGAAAGTCTGTGATTGGGATCATTCGGTTGCCGATCATGAGAGCGATGTGGACGGTTATTGATGTGAGAAGATAAAGGAAAACGCAAATTTAGAGCCTGTACCGTTGCAGTAAGATCAGAAACGGTCTGGCGAAGTTGGTGCAGCTCACTGGACTTGGCAGAAGTGTCAACAGCATTTTCTTTTACAACAGTGGAAAGAATACATGTGGTTGGTAGAATGGGGTTGACTTCTATTATTTTATCTGCCAACTTGGCCAGATTTCGGATATCAAGAGTCTTCTGAGTAGGTGCCAGGATTGCCTGAACAGTGGTGGAAATCGTTGAAAGAATAGTTGTTTAATTATGGATAATGGTAATTGCTGTAAACCTAGTAGCTGCTCCATCTTGCGAAAGAGTTGAGAAAATTTGCGATCACCAAGTTCTTCGCCATCGATCAGCTGATGAAGTCGCTTTTGATCGGACGTTAAGGTACGAAGAATTAATTCGCGTCGCAGGGAATCATAGCGATCAAGAGCAGATGGATTATGGGCGATATCGCGAACCTTCTGAGCAATGTCTGGCTGAAGGAAACCAACCACGTATGCGTATTTGGTCTTCTGTGAGGTGATATTGCACGTCGAAAATTGAGCCTCAATTTGGGAAAACCACAGTTCTGGATCATTGGGACAGTATGGTGGTAGTTTTATGCTGATTGTTGAAGCGATTGGTGCGACACATCAAAAGCTTTCGTTGATGAAGTGCTTTGTTCGTCGGGTGTAGCCATTTCGACAGTTATGAATATTTACGGGGGTCACCAAGTTAGCGTTATATAAGTCTTTCGTACGAGCTTCGAGCGTGAGCCAATGTACTAGAACGCTATTAAGTTTCTGTGATTATTTTATTCATTAGCGAAGAAGTTATTTACACCATTTGTGAGTATTCTGTTATGTACAATTTATTTACAGGCTTTTATAGTTTTCTTTAACTAGGTGCAGTTAATACGAGACGGATAAAGTACTTGAAATTTGAGTAGTTTTACGCAGTTAAAAGGTCAAGTGCGTAAGTTTACATTATGTGTAAAACTAGGATAGGCTATTTCCTTTGATTTCAATACATTATTCTCGACAAAATATTATACGTATGTTATATACGTCACTGCATGTTCTGTTGAAGAAGAGAAAAAAATTGCGGATGATTTAGATTTAATCACTTGTATTTGTTCGTTTGTGAGGCATGTAATTTTTCTGATATGTAACATCAGCCTCTAGTTCTACCGATGATGGTCAAGATTGAAGAAAATGACCACGATGAATGGTTTTGCTCCTTAAATTTGAAGTCATCAACAGATAGTAGTTTTTAACTGCAGAAAATAGAGATAACATTAATTTCAAGATGGCCCAGCCTGAGGCAGCAGTATAGTTTTAGTCTCTTTGTACAAATTATTTTTGTTGACCAGTGGTGTATTGGATGGTAGGTCAACCTACTTTGCAAAAATTCTATATCTAGTTTGCAATAGTGTAGCCATTTTATGTAATTGTTCACTTTATGCAAAAAACTGTTATTGTCACGGTCAGTGAACCTAAAAATATTTGCATAGCAAAAGTAAAAAGGCTACGATACTGCTCGCTTGGTTGTCAGGTCTTTTTTAACAGAGAGCTCTATTTTATATCATAGTTTCATTAAATATGATGTTTCATCAAACTGTTTTTCATGAAAATTCTGTTTCAGTGAACCGTAGAAAAATTGAGGTCATTAATGTGGACTAGAGCCACAAACGAAGGCCAGTAGGTTAACATTGTAAAAATGAATAAATTATAAAACGTTATTTTTCACTATTTTATAAAAGGACTAAGTGAGTCTAAGTCCACCAGCAAATATAAGAAGAAACGTGCTTCAAATCCCCCCTTGACTTTTGGTTCCAGACCAATTTATGTTTAATGCAGGTGGAATTCATTGACTTGTCCAGGTCTTATAGAGCTCAACAGTCGAAGTTTGAGTTTTCCCGCCAAAACATTAACATAAAAAAGAAAATAAAAAGTTGAAAACATAAAATCAAAAAAGATATATGTTTGTAAACAAGTAAGAAAATGTTTTTGTTTATTACCAAGTAAACTGTTTTAATAAATTTGTGTCTTTTCTCAGGAAGTTTGAAAGAAAAGTATTGAAGAAAATGATGTTCAGAAATAACTCTAAGTTTTGAAAAAAATTTAGCAAAGAAAGTGAGAAATGTTTTCTTTACAACGATCTCGAAAGAGTAAGTAGTTGCTTTTTCGTTTTTTTTTCTGCAAATGGCATGAGCTAGCGTGTCAAAAACAATAATTACAATAGGAATGAGAAATCCAGTGTTGCTATAAGTAAAATGAATTTACACGTATGGTCATGGGCTTTTGTGGCTATATCATTTTTTCCTTATGTTTGTAGTTATATTTTATTTCTGTTAGTGAAGTATATGATTACTGTTTATGCAGACCTAACACTGTGAACGAAAGTTCAATAGCATATCTTTTTAAATCAGTCTAAAATGTTTTTTCTTTCGCAGGATATAATTACAATACTCCAATTGGACTAAGAAATATTCCAGGATTTTCTACTACGTCCAGTTCATTTTTAAGTATGACTAGGATGTCGAATTATCCTCCATGGAAACAGCGAAGATTGGCAAGTTTGTCTTCACAGTTGGTTGCAAGATTTAGGTACTGCTTTTGTCGAAAGAGTTTCTTTCTCCTCAAATTCCTTTGTGTAGTATCAAATTTCTTTCATTCTTAATACCAAATGTACCAAACTCCTTGGTGAGGACATAGTTAAGACAGATTTTGATTGTTGAAATTGGGATTAATTTACTTTATTTGTGGGTAGAAAAACAAGCAGTGTAGCAATATATGCAGTTTTTTACCAGATTTGGTTTGATGAACTCAAACACTCCCTGTTTGAGAACTTTTGAACTATATAAAAAAGGTGAGAGATTTTATTCTCAGACCAAATCTTTTAAAAACAATTTGTATTTATGGCCACACTGGAAACAGGGGCTTTTTCTCCCTTCTTTATGCTATAATGGTTTTGCTTCTGACATTATTAAGCATTAAGAATTCATGATGATTTTGTAAAATGGGTGCTTTAGTGATGATAAGACTTTAGTGGCTACTTTGGGGAGGCTACTATTTTTGGCAATAAATTACTATTTTTAGTTACTTTTATACTATGATTTGGAAAGAATTATTGGAAGATAGTACAATTGCTTTTGCTTAAGCCTTTTGTTGTAGTATATTTGGCAAGGAACTCCCTCCCATCTTCTACTAAATCTATCCCTGTCATGCATTGTCAACTGCATGGAATCTGGTTCGTAACTCGTAACATAGAAAATCACAAGGCGATCTGTGATTCAATCACTCTGCAAAACCTATCCCTCTTTTTACGTATCTGAAATTTCTCGACATTTTCTTTCTCAGTTCCACAAGCTCAGCCGTATTGACAAGTTCTGGCTCGATGCTAAGTGCTGCCACAATTAAGAAATTAATGTCTCGTACTCCTATTAAACCTGCAGTATCTCGAAAGTCTTCTAGTTACACCAGTAGTACTACACCAGGTCCTACTAGATCATCTGTTATTGTTGGTGAGTCATGACGTTATTGTAGGGAATGTTGTGACCAGTATAAGTGCCAACCTTTTTGTTTAATGTGTAGTAAATAAAAATAGATGGCGAAAAGTTGAGATTAAAATTTGCCAAATACTCATGCACTTGTCAAATTCCACCCTGCAACATTTATAAAAAGGTAAAAATCTGGCATGCTAAATAGACTAGCTTGATTTGAAGAACCTTTATTCACTAACACATGTATTATTCGACCTTGTATTTACACACAGATCTTCTAATTGCACGTTTACACAGCAAAGTATGAAAATACGAGCTTTGGGTTAGGATGTGTTTTAAAAAGTCTTTAACATTTTTAAATGTTCACATCACCGTAGGGGAATGTAGAACGATATTTGGCGGGGTGTATGGGGATACTTATATCTTCAGCTCTGATTTGTTTTGTAATAACGTGGTTATCGCCATCAAAAGAAATCAGTGGGCACAATTGAATATATTAAAATACACCCCCTTTCCATAATTAACTAACCTTCCAGTTACGCCTTAAAATTTAACGTTCCTTAAAATTGTATACATTTACAGTTTTTATACAATAATTAATCTTTGCAATTCAAGTATTTAAAACCCTTTGTCCTTGGTATATTTTAAGATACATCTGGCAATAATTATTTGATTGTTTCGTTAAATTTCATTGTTCGAGGTCTTGTTATTTTCATAGCTATTGTAGAAGGTCGTGGTTTAGCCAAAGGGGAAATCGGCATGGCAAGCTTGGATTTAAAGAGAGCAGAGCTAATGTTGTCACAGGTATAACAATTTATTGTTTTCTTAGAAAAGATAACCTTTAAAATACAAGACAAATTTTTTCAAAGCAAACATGTTTACGTATAATTTATGCCAACTTTAGTGCGAAGTGAATAGGAAATTTACATGGATAGAAATAATGTATAAAAATGAAAGTTACTCCGGAATGTAAAAAATTATTTTATTGAGCTTTCGAGTCCGTGAAGGCTCGAAGCACTGAGTCTGGTGAACTGAATTGTGAAGATGTTTGTAAATGTGTGAGTTTTTGTCAGAATGTGTGTGCTCTTTGATTCAGAAACATCCTGACAAAAACAAACACATTTACAAACACCTCCACATTAACTTTTATTTATTTAACAAATATTTGCTGTCATTTGAGATCATGTAAATTCGCACAAAAAATATTTGTAAATTGTGAAAGACTAGAGAGCGGAATATGTTCATTTGCTTTATGCCTTTCATTAAACTCTCCAAAACGTACTGCGAGCGAAATGAACCAAGCAATAAATAACCTACAGTAAATGCACTAAACTTGTTAAATACAAGTATACTGCTCCTACTAAAACAAAGTTTTTCGTACCAAACGCATGAACGAGATATAATAGATATTGGGGATCGCCTGCAAATCAAGCCTGAATTTGTCTAATATCCTAAACTGTTTAGTTACGACTATTTTCATGATATAATTGCAGGGTTTTGTGAAGACTATGACTCCGATGATTCGCGAGTCAATTGCAATTAGCAAATACGCACGATTTAATAAGTATAAATAGTTAATTTTCATTTTTGTTAACTTTCACATGCGCTCATTGTCTAAAGTTGAACAATCCACATGTTTATTAGGGCAAATACTTATAATTACTTTATCATATACAGCTTTTATACAGCATTTTTTTATTCCGGGTTTTACTCTCTATCCGCTTTTGCCATTCCGCTTCCGCCATTCCATTTCTGCCATTCTGCTTCCGTCATTCCGCCATTCCGTTTCTGCTTTTCCCCCAACCCGTTAAGATGTTGTATTTGCTTGTTTAGGTCATGTTTGCGTTTCTTGATATAGACAGCTTCTTTAAGTTTAAGGGCGAAAAGAGTGTGAGCGGTGTCTAGGATACGAAAGCAGGATTGTGTGTAATTGGTCTTGCATTGTGGTGACGAGTGTAAGTGTCTGAATATGTGTTTATGTATTTTTTCAACAGGTGTTAAGACCTGCTTTTGTCTGAAAGCTTAGTATTATTTTTTGAGATAAATTAATCGTAATTTTAATCACAGTTTTTTCAAATATTGCTTGCATTTTGTTTGCATTGACTTTTTCAAAGTAGCTATAAACGCCAGATTTATGAAGTAGTTGGCTTACTTCAAGTAAAACAATCGCCAACTGTCGGTTTTTATTACATACAATTTGAAGTAGAATCATTGCAACCATGCATACCTATATCATTGTATGTCGCATATTCACATGCTGTATATTCCACAAATAGTTATTCATTGGTAAAAAACATTGATGCTTCTTCGAAATCTTAAGAAAAGAATGAAATTGTTAAATAGTAAAATAGAGACTTTATGACAATTCTAAAAATTGTTTTGAAGATAGCAATTGCCGTTGTGGATTACCATATAACCTAAGAGTTCTAAAAATTAGTTTAAGAACCAAAAATAGCAGCCCAATATTTTTAAAAAGCTACTTCAAAAACTAAACGACACTCTGCATTTCAGCAGACTAGCAAATGAGAACTTAAAGTTTTTATCTTAAATTTTAACTTAATTCAATATTTATAATAGTAAGAAAGGTTAGCGTCATCCCTATGACGAGGGAAGAGGGGGCTTAAAACAAAAATATTAGAGGCGTAATCCATTAGTCGAAAGAGGATGGGATTAGTAAACTTAATTAATACAGGCTGAAATACGTAACTGAAATTCGAGCGACATTTTTTAATAATTCTAAAATTTTGTCGCAATAGGAATCGGCACAGTGAGTGTTACTTAAAAGATGTTTTTCAATTGCTGAGTCACATGAAATCAAATTTTCACTGCTATACAATCACGCTTTGGTTGCTGTTTTAAAGCAATAGTTTATTTCGTAATAGAAGCTGGTTTTTGCTGCTTTATCCTATCACTGAAACTTTTAGGAGGGAGCACCACGCTCTCATTTAAACTCGTAAACTATAATCCTTGATCATTAATTCTTGATTTGCAACAAATCTTTTGGGATTCCACAAACATTAAAATTTGCCTACGCCAGCTGAAGTCCATAAATTGATAAAATATTCTTTTGTATCAGACATGCAACATGTTAGCTGAAGTGAAAAACATGAACATGGTCATAGAATTCCAGAATAGTTAAAAAAAGAAGAACCATCGTCATGCTTTTCTCAAAATTAAGGCGCTGTATATTGTCAAATTGATTTTAATTACAAAAAAATAACTGACTTTGTCTATACCAGTTGGCAACACTTGCAGTTAGAAATTGCGACTTTAAGGTAGCCACAGCTGACCATGAACAACGTTACAATTTTTGATTTCCATCATGAAGGGTATATCTAGTGATTGTAGTGACTAACTCTCAAATTGGTTTGCTTGATTTTTCTATACTTAGTTTTCGGACAGTCAAACATATGTGAAGGTATTGACGAAACTTCAAGTTGTGCAGCCAGTTGAGGTATATGATTAGCTGATAAGTGACACTCCTTACATCTTCTCAAAATGATAAACTTTGAGTTTAAGAGCATCACTGATTTGTTAGTATTGTGCTGAGCGAACGTACGTTGCAATAATTACAGATAAGATTTGCTCTTGCTGTCATTTGAGAAATTTTAGTCATTCTTGTCACTGTCTGCATTAGCTATTGGCTTTCTTGCAATTTCATTATGATTCTTTCAATTATCACATTTACAGTTACACGATAGATTCAGAGAGATTCGGCATCTGACGTATTTACATGTAAAATACGTACAACTGACATGTACTGCACAAATTTAATAACAATAGAAAAGAAGAAACGAGGTTGAATAATTGATGATAAAATCACTATATCTAAACTTCATAGTTATTTAATATTGCAACATTTTAATTTGCATAAAGCATTTCACATTAGTTTCAACATAAATAACAAATCATTAAATGTTCTGTTCAAGATCAGTTTCGCTTTAGCTACATTATACAAAACGTGCGCTTCAATTGACCTGGTTTTGCTTGTTGTGGCTTAAGTTCTGTTCTTTTTTTTGACCTTAGTATTTGTGCTTTAGTATTTCACAGAAGTGTTTACCATTCATGCAGTACTTATTTACTAACTATCTAAAATTACGTCCAAGCTTATTTTAAAATCTTAAAAAACTTTACACAGTTATCAAAAATTAGCGCACGCAGTTTTTCAAAGACTCGATATCGCCATGAAAATGTTTTACATGAAAGAGAACTTGAAGATATTTATTAGTGATGGAAAATCTACATTGGATACTATTTTATGAATAGATAATCATTCCAAGTACTGCATATGACGCGGGTAATATGACCAAACTTTGTGAAGTAATAGCAGATCAATTTTCCAACGTCAGTCTCACAACTGTTCAGAGAAAGTATTTCAATGAATCTCAAGGTATGCCAGCGTACGTACGGAATATCGATTGAGTATTTCTATGAACACACCAAACGTACAACGTTAGATTGATAAATAGAAATAGGCGATTGGTAATTCGAAAATTTTCATTGTAGGTGTTCAATACATCAAACAACTATGTGTCCCTGAATTCAGTGCTGTTCAAATGGAAGTAGCCTCAAAGTAGGAAATGTTAAAATAACAGTTTGCAAAGATATGTTTGGTGTGTTTCTGCTTTAAAACACATGCTTACATAAGTTCCAGCCATGAAAACCTCATTATTTCATCCAACTCTTATTGAACTAAACATATTGCATATTATTTCATTCGATCATTGGCTCTTTGTGATAAAATGAAAGCCCTAGCTGACTTCTCTATGTCTGTTTTTATTTGTATTTATATATATTGGACATGAGAAAAAATTCTTTCTAAAATTTCGTCTTTTTTACTGAGATTTTTGCTATGAAAAAGCTACGTAGGTCTTTCCTGACTACCCCGAAATTCCTCGTTGTAGTAAATGCTCCCGAAGTGTATTACAAATTCTTAAAGTGTCAACCATTTGTATTCTGCTCATTTCATGTTTCCTTTAGGTATTACTGCCTCGCTACTGCGTCGGTAAGTTGAACGCTTTGTATGCTGAATATATTTCATTATGGTACAATACTTAATTTATTTTAAGCACATATCACTTGTTTTGTACACTTTTTCTTAAAATTTCGCAGAACTGTTGTTCCATGTCATAAAATGTGATGACCATCGGTTGACAAAAACTCCAAAATTTTAAGGTTCTTGACATATGCATATGGAACAGCAGCGTTCATCCTGAACTGTTCAAATTTCATTTATATAAAACTTACAGAAAACGATTTATCCAATAAATTTAGTGGCCATATTCATAGAAACTTCTAAAATCTGATGTAACTAAATTATTATATGTAGCGATGATTTATGTGAACATGCAGTTTATGCCATGCTAACTATATAGATTTCTAAAGAATTATTTACCATAATAATGTAGTATGAATATTGTGGGCTGACAACAATATTACTTAAAAATCGGATTAAGACTTTTGAATTTGAACACCATGCAAATGTTTTAGTGTTTACATTATGCCTATTGAAAATGTTAGAGTCACAAAAACAGATTTCCACAGCATTAAGAAAGAAACTTTCTATGACCTACTTAATGCTTTAATTATAAAATATTTTGTGTTTCTAGGCTCTTTTAAAATATGTGGAATTCATGCAAAACATAATTTATGCTCCTGCTTCTTTAAAAATCGTATTTAAAGGAAGTGAACAGACAATGATGATAGGTTGGTACTTTTAATGCAATATATATGTGTATAACACAAGGTTAAATAGTTGGAATGTTATTAAACAAAAAGAATGATAGCACAACGCTATAACCAACAACTACAAACAATAACGACCTTATCTAACAACATTTGAGAAATTAATCTTCCACTCCTCTTCCTTGTAAACGATACAAGTCTACTCAAAAGCAGAGAGCCTTGTACGCTACAAGTCCCGGGCTTGTGACCGGTATAGCAGAGTTAAAAGGTGAAAGGTAGATTAATCAGTTGATTAATCAGTTGATTAATCAGCTAGGAAGAGGAGTGGAAGGTTAATTGGACGGGTGGGGCATTGCAAGAATAGCAAAAAAATTTCTAAAAGCAAAATTGACTTATTTGCCTATTTTTTTGTATCTAAATAGTTGCTACTGCTGTGCAACAATTTTAAAGTCGAATGGGTAGACTGCTGCATGATAATTCGAAGTTCTGAATAACTGTGTACTTACGTACTTCGTGATTTTTGTATAGCCTTTTATAATTTTTAGTTTCTTTCAAACTTATTTCTATGGAAACTTATTGATTTTTAGACGCTGCAACTGCAAAACATTTGGAACTGGTATTGAATGCTCGTAATCCTGGTAGTGATCACTGTCTTTATGGTGCAATAAACCACACCAAGACACCACTAGGAGGTATGACGTTGATATGAGGCTACTTAAATCAAATTTACTCATAATCAATGGAATGGGTTTTAAATAGAGCTCCTTATTATGTTACGTTTGATCTATGTGTCTCGTAAGATTTTTCAGAATGTCTTGAAACTTTCGATTTATTCTTGCTTTACTGTCATAAAAATCTTTCAAAGCAACAATAGCAAGTTTTTTAAGCATTTGAAAGCATCCTGCATGTAGTAAAGAAACTTTTATAAACATGAAAGTATTCAAAATTAAAATGTTCTCATGAAAAAAACATGATTGGTATAATTTTTCTGTTTGTTTTTTTAGCTCGTTTGTTGAGATCCAATATACTTCAACCATCATCTGGTAAGTCTTATATTAATCTTTAATAGCCACCGCAAGAGGTTTTCCTAGCAGTTGAACAACGTCTAGAGTTGTGTAATAATCGTAATTTTCCTTTTTTTTGTTTTTCCTTGTTCGTGTAATTTTCAAGACATTGTTCAATAGTGGTTACAATTTTATTTTTATGGACCTGGCATTTTAGAAAAAGTGATCTATTCTTCATTCTTCACTGCATTTACCTATTTGGTAATAGTCCTGTTTTATTTGGTGTAGAAGGGAAATTTTAGATTATTCTCTCATTACCATTGCTAAATTGTATAGAATGTACACTTGTGGGAACATAGTTCAAACAAAAAACAGCTTTTTGTTGCTGTGCTAATATCATATGAGAAATTTTTCAGATTCAATTAAGGTTCATTCAGTTGGATTTTGTGAAAAATTCCTCATTTTTTAATCATTTTCAACCCTAAATAAATACGTTTCTTGCTATTATGCTTCTTATATTACTGCATGCTGAGAATTATTATAAGATCAACCATTTATTGTGTTTGCCATAAAATTATTCTTACGACTTTTTGTTTATTTAAATTTCATTAAATTCTTACTTCATAATGACACTAGTATATAAGATTTATTCAATGATATTGGCAGATATTGGAACAATTAAAACAAGACTTGATTGTGTCGGAGAATTACTTGAGAAGGAGGTTAGTGTATAAGCTGAAAAAAGATGTTCACATGTATGATTTTTTAGAAGAATGAATCATAGCTATATCATGTCTCTGTATTACTCTTTTCCGTAGCCTTGAAAGATATTAGGGTAATTAAAACGCTACTTTAAATAATTGACACCTACAAATTACAACTAAAAACATCACACCTAAATCACACTTCACAACCAAAAACATTTCACTTCACACTAATTCACAATGACAATACACATTTCCTGTACACACAATACAATGACGTAAGAACCAGATAAAAAATACGGCTAACCTGGCGTTTACTCCTCATTTGACTTTGAAGATGACTACCGCTAAGGCTGTCGAAACGTCAGTCAACAACAACAAAAACAGTTCTTCTCAGGACTAAACCAACCTGGACGATCTACATTTACAAACATGTGATGTTGAAAGTAATGATACAAAATAAAATATTCGTCTGGCCACATTTAATATTAATATAGCATTTATCAGGTGGCTTTAATTAAACTTTCTTAGAAAGCATGTCTATACATGGCACAAGAGGTTCTGCTTTTATTAGAACAGTAAATACAACGTAGCATACTTTTTCGAACAAGCGCCGCGGCGCTAATTTACTTTTTCACCACGTGCGGTGCTTAAACGATCAAGGCGTTTCTTCGGGGGCGGCGTTTGTTGAAAAGAGACATAATTGTCACATATTCCATTCAAGTGCTTTTTTTTTCTGTCTGCAACTTTTTACTATAACATTAAGTTTTTCATTTTTTTAAAATATTTTTAAATTTTTCACATTAAGTTTTATTTTTCAAATGCGGTTCCCTTGACAAAGCAAACAGATCTATTTCAAACGGCTCCCAGATCTATAGAATAAAGTTATTGCCCACTGCTACAGTATTCTTCAATCTATTTCAATATCACTGTCCCTCTCTTTTTCTGTGTCTACAAGCACCATCACGTGAGAGTATGCGACTTCTATATTGGAGTCTGCAGTCAAAAGGATTGGCTATTTCAGATTCCCTCAAAATTTATAACTGCATACGAAGCATTTCTCTGTGCTTCATGCCTGGAATTCTTTAAAAAAATGAATAATCTCGTCCTTAGAACCATCTGCGGTAAAGTTCAAAGCGCAACTTCGGAAAGAATTTTTAAAACGTCTTTTAGTAGGTTGGCCCATGCATTCAAAATTCACTGCAGAATATCTCTCCTTGGGGGAGTTTTCTAATCTCCAGCAGCAATTTCTTCGTGAATTCTGACTGCTGCCAGCCATTCATCGCATTTTTCAGTGCAAGAGACCTTGAACGGCTTATTCCACTTGACATCTTGTTCCTGAATGTACTTCATGCACCCGCAAGGTACAATTATGGAATCAATGTTCTTAAACTTCAGTGACTCGGTGATGGTATCCTTTATAAGACACTCGTATGAATCACAGGCCAATAACCTTCGATTAAATGCAAATGCTCCAACGACAGAATCAACCCAGACCTTGGTTAACTCAATTATCATCCATTCGTTCGCAGAAGTTGCAATAATTTCTCGATGATGGAATTCTTGATGCAACTTAGCAACTTCTTGCTTTGCACCTTTAATTCCACTATGGGTTTCAGCTTAGTTCCATTGGCCTTGACAGCAAGACAGACTGATACTTTGTGTCCGGTAGATTTCAATGTAATAATTTTCTTTTCAGTTTTGTCAACAGTTCTTTCTGATATCATGTCGAACCAAACTGGTGTTTCAATTCATCCATGGCAATTATATCAGAAGATGTGTATTTGTGTTTCTCCTGTTGTCTCCTCTCCTCGCCTTTATCACGTACGATACAAGTTTTTCCACCGTTCTTTTAGGACTGTTTTGAGCGATGGATGTCTTACGTCTCAATGGCAAACCATTTTGCATCTGAGAATTTCCTGGAAGCGGGTCCATTCTTTCTAATTTCAATATAGGAAATCACTTGTTTCATGAACAAAAGACGGAACTTTCCCTTGTGAGAAATGGGTCTTTGTTCAAATCTGCCATTCTTAAAAAAGGCACGCTATTTTTATCAATTTGAGAGCATTGACAACAGTAAGTCATATATTCATGCCCCATCTTCGGTGTCAAGTTTCTTGGCAGAAGCAGTGACGCAGCGTGTCTAAATTGACAGCAGTCTTTAAAACTTTTATCAATTCTAGCAGAATACCAACTACCATTGCAAGAACTTCACAAATTGAATACAAGATGTATTACAGAGTAAGCTTTGAAACAGTTATCAGAGGACATCATGTTTATAAGTCTACGTGGACCCCCAAATCTATTCATTTTTAGAGTGCGGTGAAAATATTATCTCAGGCCATAGCCCATGTACCTATATAGAACTATTGCAGTTGTTTAGCTACTTCTTACCAGCAAACACGGAAAATACGCTAGTTGTAAGAGAAACAGGAAAAAGAAGGAGAGAAGTTGGGCTTGTTGTACCTGCGAAATTCACGTCATTCACACCAGAACTGAGAAATGCAAAAATATTGAAGAAGGAATCAAGCGGACTAGCGTCAAAATATAGTCACTTTGACTTGAAAAACATGGTGATAATTGAAATTAGATTGGCAATGCTGTTGTATACTCGCGTTGGAGTGGTATTTTAGTGATAATTGATAAGTTAAATCTAGTAAAACAATGGGCATTTTACAATTTTGGCGAACCACTTGAGAAACAGCAATTGGAGTAACTTTGGACCAAAAGGAATTTTTGTCTTCACCAAAAAATGCGTATTTTCTAATTATATGGCATGAGTGAACTTTATAATTATCGTAGCTAACTCATGCCAATTTTCGTTTAAATTACTTTGTGTGCAATTATTCAAATTTATGATTACGCCCTCTTTTTTTGTAGGAAAATTTTTATCAAATGCAGTCAGGTACGTGGTTGAAATTCACATCTACTAAAACTTTACTATCCATTAACTTAATATACACGCTACTCTCTATCAAATCATGTCAACCAATTCCAGTTAGTGCATGAGAACGAGCTTGTCAATTTCTGTGTACATTTGTTTTCACCTGCCACAAATATGCAAGGATTGAAATTTTTGGATTTAAAAAAATACTTGACTCAGCCCTCTCTATCGTGATGAATTCTTGTAGGCAAAATTTTGCCGTAGATATTTCTAATTTGGGGGAGTTTTGTGGCAGTTTTTCCTGCCTTTAATATTACATGTCAGTAAAGTATTTACTCGTATTTTTTTATAAAGATTAGAATGAATAGTTCTTAGCAGCATTCTGTGTTTATGATAACAGTAAATAAATACTGCGGAAAAAATTCATAATGGCGACAAAAAATTGTTGATAATTCGTTGTTATGGGTAACAATTTCCATTTGCCGGAATTCACACCAAAAAATTTCAAATGTTGTTGGCTTTGTCGTGATTGTCCATCACTTAAAATGGCAATAATTTCTCTTTTTGAGGGCAATAGCTGTATTTCACATGCAACTTTTTAGTTCTAGGACGATTTATTGATATTGACCATGTAACGTCAATGTGTGTTCAAGTATCAAAGACAGAAAATATAAGAAACGCCGAGTCAAATATTACCAACATTATCTATCTCAAACATACCCTGGAGCTTATCAATCCTCTTAAGGCGTGCTTGAAGAATTTCAAACACCCTCTCTTTAAAACTTATTATGAGGTAAGAATTCTATTGATTCTGTGTTTTTAATTTTATTTAGTTTTTTGTGCATATTCAGAATGCTTTTTCGCTTTTATTTCATAATGTTTAAGTTTTCAAAGTGAAAGAAACTAATGCTACGTAAAATGATGAAAATTTTACGTGATGATAAATATAGCTGGTGATTTCTAATGAAAGAGCACACCCATTCGTTTCACATCTTTGCAACAAACTGTTTGTGTTGGCCATGTAGTATACGAGTGCTGAATTTTTTTTCTCAAACTTACGTATGCAAAAACAGGAAATCTTTTAATGATTAAAGATATACATGTGTACACAAGAAAATTGTCTTTCGCAAAAAGCTCTTGATTGGCCTCATTATGCACTACTCTCTTTAACTATCTCCATAATTACTATAATGTTCGTTTTCAGGGAAAAGATGATTTGTGTTCATATTCTACCTTATGTAGCTAAAAAAGGGATGTATTCAAATAAAAATCCATTTTGCTGAGTTAAATCTGTGTTGGCTTTTTGCCATAGATAAAATATTAAAAACATTTCAGATGCATATAAGAGAGAGACCTTTGATTTTTAAAAATTAAGAATAGGATTATTAATTAAGATAGCGTATTTCTCAGAAATTAAAAATTAAGATAGCGTATTTCTCAGCAGCAAAAAGTAACTAATCATTACCATAATACTGTAACTGTTTAGATGTTAAGCGATTCACGTTATACACAAGTCATGGAAGCAATTGAAAAAGTAATTCACGAAGACACTCACTATCAAAAGGGTGCTATGAACATGAGGACACAAAAATGCTTCGCTATAAAGGTATGTACAGCTTTGTACTTTAACAGCTGTATTGCAGTTGATGAAATTTTTATACATTAAATCCAAGTTAAGATTAAATTATGTAAGTTTGAATTGTGTAAGTTTTCACAAACACAAAATTAGCAAAACACTGAAAGTACCAAAACATCTGAGTTGCTGTTAGAAAAACTTTGGTGCCTTGTTTTCGACAAAGGAATTCTATAAATACATTGAACTTTTCAAATAGAAAGTAACCAATTTGCAATTTTTTTTTATTTTATTCTAATTTATCAAAATACGTGAAAATTCCTTTTAACAAAAAGTTTAGATTAGAGTTAGGTCTTCTGTTTAAGGTGTTGTTTAGCAGGTATTAGCCGTGTTAAAATAAATGAAACGTTTGTTAGCAGAGTTGTTTCCGTCGTCTCTAGAACTTAGGCCGATTGGACAGAACTCTATTCAAAACCACTGTAACGACTCAATCAAAACGAAGTTAACTAGACGAACGATTATATGAGAAGCAGGCAATAATATTCACTCTTTACATTGTCACATTCTTTACAATCGAAAGAGAAAAGTGTTTTCATTATATTTTCCTTTTCTGCACACCATAGCAAACCTTTAACTTTTATTTTGTTTTTTTTTCAGCCACACATTAACGGTAAGTACAGTTCACGGGGTAAGCAAGTTCATTGTCAAAAAAATGAATTAAATGTGAAGCGTCTGGAACGTCACATTTCTAAGTGGTTTCTCTTGAATATTCTACACGTGAACATGAGCATTGTTTGTCTTGTAAACAAAAAACAACAGTTCAAATGCTATATAGCAAATTAGCGTCGTTTACATCAAAGACACTCGATAGGTGCCAGTTAATTTTTAGTTTTTTAAGCTTTGGTCTCTTTAATGCGCTTTAACAAATCTCATGAGCAATGTAAATTAGACTTTTTTAGACGAGTGCACTGTTATTATTAATACACTGTTTTTATAATCACTCATCTATAATTGCAATCAACATGCTGCAAACCCTATACTTTCAGGATTGCTTGACGTAGCCAGAAGAACATATACAGAGATTGTTGACGATGCCCTGGGTATAATTTTTATTGTTTCTTGTGTCTTAGCATTGCATCGTAGGAGTAACTCGTAAGATGGTAATTTTGTTATTGAATATATTTTTTGATACTTTTCCTGTAAGTTACACATAGTTTTATTTTAGTTTTCTTTTACCTGTTTATGTTTGTGCATGTTTTTGATGATAAACACTAATATTGAATTTTTGCTTCGTTCTTGCTACATATTTTCTTGAAACTCTGTTTTCTTATTTTGCTTAACTTGGGTAGAAGATCACAGTTTTTTAGTTCCTGGGTAAAGAAAATATAGCCAGTCTTTGTTAAGGCATTTAACTATCCTTTTTTTTCAGCACTTGTACAGCAGCTGGGTGAGGAATATGACCTGCCTGTGAAGTCTGCTTTCAACACTACTAGAGGTTTTCATGCACAGATGAGTTTAAATCATCCAGATAGCGTAGCCATTGAAGATTTATCAAGTGAATTTATTAAAGTCGTAAAAACAAAGAATATTGTCGCCTTTACCACCGTTGATTTGGTGAGTTGAAATGAATTCGCTGTAAGTATTAAGAACGCTTATAATTTCTATTTCATAACATATCTAGTCATGGTCAATGCCTTTTTTGTTATTTTTATAGAGTTTTTGTTTATTTTACCTTTAAATTTGTGAATGTTGCAGTAAACAATCGTGTAAAGTAAACAATCAAGTTAGTCATGAGAAACCTGAGAAAAACGTCGGAGTCAGCAGACATGCTATGTTTATAGATACGTGCTGTCTTTTGCTTTCCTAGTCGCTATCTATTGAAAATTAGCTAGTAGAGTAGAAAATCGAATTAAAGTAATTACAATAAAATACCAGTGTGATTCTACTAAGTAAAAATATACTGTTAAAATCGTAATAACATCTTCAAGATGAAGAACTATCGTAGTATTTCCTAATTACCTTTTATCTTTTATTATGTACTATAGTCTTGGAATGTCCTTGTCATGATCATGAAAATTTATAAGTTGTAATACAGATATCGTGATTAAGGATCTTGTTCTATGTTGTAAATTTTTGTGTATTGCACAGTTCAATCATGAACCAGGGCATGACTTTTATATGGCTTCTTATCTTTCATATTGCTACCATAATCTGGCTTGATCAAGCTTCATCATAAATTCTAAACCAGTTATACTTATTACTACTATTGTCAATGCGTGCGTGACAATGTATCTGTTTTGTATTTTTATAATGCCTGACCATAATAGAAGTAAATCTACTACCTAAATGTATTTAATATATTTATGAACTATTTACATGCATAAGCATGAATTTAATGCCATGAAAAGTTTCAAAAATTTTGCGGTTTCTTGTTACAAAAATTCTTACAATTTCTGCATTGCTATAGTTGTCATTTAGCCTTGTTTACATTGTAATATATGAGATAAATTGGTCTAGCTGCTATATGTATTTAAGAAAAACTTTTGTGTATCATATATGTATTCAAGGCGTCGGAAGTGAGGAGGCAGGGAGCTAAGCCTCCCTCATTTTTCTTATAACGGAAGCACTGTTTTGATTATAAAACTTATGTACTACAGTGCAAAGAATCACGTTGGAACCTTTTGCTATTCTTTTTATTTCGTTAGTTTATTGCATGCCCCATTAGGCGACGGGCGTTGTTCAATTTCAAAATAGCGTTTACCTAGCAACATGTTGTAGAGTGGTACTCATAATTTCTCAAACATGCCCACCCTTATTATTCATTCCGTATGTATTCAAAATCATCAAATGGTGTTGTTGCAAAACAACATGTCAAAAAGTTTCTTTGAAATTTTAATTTAAAATTCTTAGGATTAATGGTGCAATAATTTAATGCTCGTGTTAGTTCTATTATTTTTTGTGTTAATTAATGAAATAAATAGTAAGGAAAGAAAACTATCAATATCTTCCTAATGTGTCATTTTAATTTACTGTAGGTTAAATTAAACGGTAAGTCAATATTCAATAAATTTCAATTAAGTAATAAAGATTTGGTTTAGGATTGTTTGAGTTCAGAAAAAATTGTGGTGAGCACTTTAATCTACTACCCACCCACCCCTATTGACTGGCCTTCTCCAAATATACAGTCGATTTTTGCAGAAGTTTGTCAAAGTATTTTAAGGTAAAAATTTTTCACGGTTTGAAGATTCACTTTCAATTATTTCAGATCGTATTCAAGAGTCCATGAACGAAATCTATCTAATGACAAACATGTGAGGCTTATAAAACACTTCAAAATTCTATGTGTAAACTAACTAATAGTATTAGTGGTTATTTGATTTAAATTTTTTATTCTATGCAGTACCGAAAGTAGCCCTATCTTTTTCTCCCACAATCGAAATATTTGAGCAAAGTAATTATTCGTCTCTTTAGAAAATTGTCTCCATTTCATGCATAGATTTTAGATCTATGACATTATTGTTGTCACATTATTGTTGTCACATTTTAGAGTGGTGACGGAACTTTTGGTAGAAATACGTGATAAAATTGGTTGCATTTACAAGTTGAGTGATTGCGTTGCTACTCTGGATCTACTTGTTTCGTTTGGTTTTCTTTGTACTGCTGCAGAGCATGGTAAGTGAATCGGGTGACTGTTTGCAGGCATATTATATACAGTGACACGCAAAAGTATTCAATACACTGGATGATTGTTAATATCTCACGTTCTAATCATTATTTTTTGATGAAAATTGCATGAAATATTCATGTTAGTGTAAGAAACAAAATCTCTGAAGGATATTGAAAAGCAATCAGTATTTTATTGTTTATTCAAAAAAACATCAAAATAAGTAACGCAAAAGTATTCAACACGTCAATTTAGTATTTAGTTGCAAATCCTTTATTCTGTTTTACAGCAAGAAGTCTCTTAGCATAGTTCTCAGTGAACTTCTTGCATGTCTCAGGCGTTATTCGATTCAATTCTTCGAAGCAGAAAGTTTTCAAATCTTCCATATTTTTAGGATTCCGCTTGTGGACATTGATTTTGAGAATCCTCCACAAATTTTCGATTGGGTCTAGGTCAGGTGATTGGCTGGGCCATTTCATCACATCAATTTTGTTATCCGTAAACCATTTTTTCATTAGCTTCGAGGTGTGCTTTGGGTCATTGTCTTGTTGAAACACAAAACCACTTTCAAACTGGAAGGAATCAACCGATTTCTTAAGTTTTTCCGTCAAAATGTCTCGATACATAAGGGCATTCATGCTTCCTTCTATGATCTTCCACTCTCCGACTCCATTCGAACAAAAACAAGCCCAAATCATCATACTACCCCCACCGAATTTAACTGTTGGGATAGTGTTTTTTGGAGCATGAGATTCTCCGCTTTTTCTCCAAACCTTGTTAGCACCATTATGACCAAAAAGTTCTATTTTTGTCTCATCTGACCATACAACAGTGTCCCAATACGTATCTGGCTTCACTAGATATTCGTTGGCAAACTTCAATCGGTCAACAACATGTTTCTTCTTCAGAAGAGGCGTTTTTCTGGGGGACCTGGAGTGAATACCGGCTCAATAAATAGTCCGACTGATGGTATCTTTGCTAACATTTACTTCAGCACCTTTTAACTGCTCTTGTATCTCTGAACGGGTTACAAATGGGTTCTGTTTCACTTTTTAAATGACCAACCTTTCACTTGCACCAGTAATCTTTCTTGGACGGCCTGTTCTGGGACCATTTAAAACAGAGTCACACTTCCTCCACTTTCTGATGATGCATCCCACTGTGTTTACATTCACATTTAAAGCCTGTGATATCTTCCTGTACTCATTCCCTTTTTGGTACAGTTCTACGATACGTTCACGCATGTCGTTACACAATTCCTTTGCTTTAACCATGGCTAAATAGAAAACACTAAGGGAAACTGAGTTCACGAATGGTTACAGAGGTATCACCGGCCATACTGACTTCAAAATAACGACGGGGACACTGGTGATTGGTCAAATATTGTCATATTAATATGGAAATGAACCATGATGAGATGTTCGCAATAAAAAACTATAGTAATATGTTAACAACATTATGATAACATAATGTGTTGAATACTTTTGCGTTACTTATTTTGATGTTTTTTTTGAGTAAACAATAACATACTGATTGCTTTTCAATATCCTTCAGGGATTTTGTTTCTTACACTAACATGAATATTTCATAAACTTTGCATGAAAAAATAATGATTAGAACGTGAGATATTAACAATTATCCAGTGTATTGAATACTTTTGCGTGTCACTGTATATGAGAAACTTGATAATATTTTAAGAAAGTTTTTCTCACCCCTCAAATTAACAATGGGTATATAGATAGGGTTACGCGTAAAGGCTTTGAAAGTTAAAAAATAAATACGTTAATTCTTTGTGAGTACTCAAAATGCAAAAAACTTTATTCTAAACAATGATGTATAAGTTTGGCAGTTTAAGTACCTTACAGGCATACAGTTTCGACGAATATTTAATCCCACTCTGTTACACGTTTTAAAAATACTGTGTATTATGTGTTTTCTTCGTTAAGGTTCAATTTTCTTTTCAATTGTCAGTTCATTGATTTTCCCTTACTGATCGATCTGGAAGATTATTTCATAAGTACAGTACGATAAATTCAAATAATTTGCTGCATACACACGTCGTTTGTTGTCTTCCCTTTGAAAGAAAAAAACATTAATTAAAATTTCTGTTATTTATATTGTGGTGCTGAATATACTTCTCACCCCTAGAATGAAAAAGCGTTTAAAATTTATCTCCATCCTAACATTTATCTACATATTCATTTAGTTCGACCGGAATTCACAGACACCCTTGCGATCTCTCAAGGGAGACATCCTATTCTTGAAAAGATTTTGTCGAAACCTCCTGTCTCAAACAGCACAGTAAGTTATAATGCTTGGTTCACGTGAGCTAAATAAGCATTAACGCCACTAGACTTTTGTTTCTTTTGTAGTTCTCCTTTACTCAGATTTAAACAGCGGGAGTTTATTTTCTGTTGTCCTTCTATAGCTTTTGCTTTTAAACGAGTCGACTTTTGGGAAAATCAACCATACCGGGGCATTTTTTAGTAAAAGTTGATAAAAAAACATTTTGTTTAGTAATTTTTTGTGTTGAACATGAAAATGGTTGTTACCAGAGCGGAAACTTTGATTTTAGGTGAGAAAATGAGGTCACATTAGTGTCATTAAAATAACCCAATACAGAAGAATAAATATTTTTCTTAACGATTTGCAACAAATTTTGATCCCTGAACAATGAACATTATTAATTGTTTGTGTCACAAAATTTCAGCAATGAACGTGAGCTTAATCTTTTCTTATGTTAGTGACCTCATCATGATGTCCCTAAATTATTTCGAATTCTCAAAATTAGCTGGGAATTCGAAATAGCATCTTGTTTATGCTTCACTCTAAAACATTACAAACACAGTTAGTTTCATGTTTTTATATTTAAATAAATAGTATGTTTATTTAAAGTTGTATTGAAATAAATAGATAATTAGTGTGTCTCCTTTAGATTTATCGTGTCGTTAAATCATCGCACATGTGTTTATGAAATTATTCAGATGTTTTTGGACAGCATGACAAGCAACATTTAATGCATCCCAAAATTCTTTAACATTTGTAAGATGTTACGCTTTTTCCATTGTCGTGAATGTCATTCTCCTTACATAAACTCTTCCATCTTTATTTTTTAATAACACACTGTGTCTTGTCATTAAAATTGCCTTCTCCACCATCTTTGCAAACTTTTGGCTGCACCCCATATGTTAAGCAGTGAGACGTGATTTCTTTATTTGCTTGCAGCTATCAAGATCTGCCTGTTGTATGTGTACAAATATGCTGTCCTACATCTTAGATGTTACCCAGTTCTGTGCAGGGAGTTGATCATTGTGACACTCTCAATTACTCACTATTTTGCAACATTCAAGCTCCGCGGCTACAGAACGCTTGCATAAATACAAGCTTCTTTTTGCTCATATTAATATAGATATGTTATTAATTGTGAAGTTCCCATTGTATTCTACGGCTTACAACATGTGACATATCAATATGAGTCTCCCTCCAAGTATTGATATTCCTATGAAAATGCTAAAGCCCCAGCATCTGACCCCAAAAGCTTGCAATAAAATAATCTCTCGATCATGCACTGGCTGTAAAAATTTCTTGATGTAGTTGTGAAAAGTATAACTTCTTCGGCACCAGTATTTGTGGGTACAGAAACACAACTAACACGAGCACTAACAGTAAATAAAACGACTGATCAAGTATAGGGTAAACCATGAAAGACTTGTATAACAAACATCTTTTCCACATGTTGATATTTAACTTTAAGTACAAAAAGTTTAATCTTGGAAAGAAAAGTTTGAAAACATCAGTTATTCAACGTACTATGAATACAAAAAACAATAAGAAAACGGTTTCTGTGATAGTGATATAATGAATAATTGAAACTATCAGCAATGTATTGCCAAAATTTTAATTGTTCTATGAAACAATCAAAACTATGTAATTTTTAACAAAATTCTCCACTTGTGGTAATTTAGCAACCAATGACATCATTGTGGTTTCACTTATGTATAACAGGTTCAATCGCACCCAAGCTGTTAAAACTGGTGGACAAAATACGTATCAGCGATAGTCACAACTTCAAAATTTGATGTATAACATTAGCAAAATTATGTATTTTTTTGCATTCCTAATTTTGATGACTTTATTTCTTATAACGTCATTTTTTAAGCGAAGATGACAATATTGGCTTTGGTAACAAGTATTTTCGTGTTTAGCCGATAAAAACACAACAGAAACTACTCGTTACCAACTTTTACTAAGAAATGCCTTTAGAATTTGATTTAACGACTTTTGAAGACAGAAAATTCAACAGCTCTTTTGTCTCCTTTCCTTAGCTCTATGATTGTGCCATATGTTTTGTTGTTTGTGTTGTTTATTTGATGTCTTCGCTTATGCTTATTTCACTTATGTGAACCACAAGCATAAAGTGTCGATCAAGTAAGAACTTAATTTTTGTCCACGAAATTTTCACTTAAAATAGATAGATTTCTACATTTACAAAAACTGCTTATTTTAATGCATTGGCGGCGGAAGGGGGGAGCTAAGGGGGCTACAGCCGCCAATAATTCAGGTAGGGGGCTCTAGCCCCTCAATAATTTAGATGGGAGGCTAAGCCCCCCAATTAATGAGCTAAATTCATCAATATTTTTCCCGTCATATATTTTTATGTTTGACAAGGGGAAATTATTGGCATAGATGGACTTTTAAATCCTATAGACTTTCATTTACTTTAAGTACTTGGAGTTGATGATAGGAAGAAAATCACGTCAAATTTGTCATTAGAACATGGCGTAAATGCAATAGAAATATGGCATAGTCTAAAATAATAAATAGCTTTTTCACTGGTCTGGGACTGAATTAAAAAAAGCAAAAAATGGTATTATTTGTGAGTTCGACAACTACAACTACAAAGGTCAAAATGCCACGCCATTACAAAGATTTTTTTTATTCAGCCCCCCCTTCTAATGCAAAGCATCTTCCGCTACCACTGTTATTACGGGTATGAGCAAATTTGAATAAATAGTCTGAAATATTTACGTTTAGCTACACGATTTAATTTTATTATTCAAAATGCAAAAAGGAATTAGCAAATTTGAATAAATTTGCGAAGCTGAGTAGATATCATTTTTTGTTTCAAAATCTTCTAACATTCGATCGAATTCTACAATTTGAGACGTGTTAATGATGGATTCTACTCTTGATTTTTTATAGCAATAGTTAAAATGTGTTTTCTTTGAATTTTTATTAGACTCAATATATCTTACATTTGTAGTACGCCGCCGATGGCAACAATTTTCTTATTATAACTGGTCCTAATATGGTAAGCATGAAGTAAAACTCGAGTGACAGTTTGTTAATTAAAGTATCCATGGTTTATTTCAGAAATTTTACACAAATCTGATTTCAAGAGATCATTGAAATTCATGTCTTTGACTTGCAATTCAGATATTCCAATCATAGTACTAATAAAATATTTCATTTATTCAAATGCTATATTTTGGGGCCAACATTGGTGAGAGATGCTGCTTCGTATGTGGGAGCAAAACACGTTTGTTTACTTGAATTTGTATTTGAAGAAAAAGTTAATTAAAGTCAAAGGAATATTTACCCCTCAAACACTCATGCTCTAGTTTTGCCTCTGGGTATCAAAGGGGACTGTAGAAGCCTCAGCACAACTTATATGATTAATATTTTATGATAACTAAAACTTATTTATGGGAAATCAAATTTCGAACCACAGATTATCAATACTTTAATAATAAAACTTTGCGACTTTAGTTATTGTCCATAAAACAGAAATATTTTCTGTGTTAAAAAGTATTATCTGGCTTAAGTAATTAATACATGCAGCAAAGAGAAACAATGTTTCCCATATTGTTTTGAATTGTAATTGAATGAATCTCAGATAATTAATTGTGAACAAAGCACTAACTAAACTTTTGGTAACTCGCTAAATACCGTTTCAAAAGAATTGAGTCCTTTAAGCAGTTTGAAGAATGCCCAGATCATCGTATCAAAACTGAGCAACTTGGCATTTTAACTACTGGCTGACATCCATTTATTTGAGTCTCAAATTAGCACTTCTAAAAATTTATCTAAACGGAAATTTTCTTTTTGTGTGGTGTTTAGAACATTATATAATCAAACGTGTAAATGAAAATTACTTTTTGTAAACAGAAGTTCTAAGTTATTTTAATAACAGGAAAACTAAATTAATAAATACGATCATTCAACTAATTTCTAGTTGAGCAAAGGCAAGGGAGCCTACCATTGGCTGATTGAGTGAATGGTTGTTTTACGCAACTGCAAGAGACAAGATTTAAGATTAAGCTTTGCACATTTTGTCTCTTGTCAGAATAAATCAAGTCTTGTGCGTACAAGATGATGTTTTTTGGAGTATTTTTAACTTTCACTCAGTTGAACGACAAGTGTTTTATGTTATTGTAATAATGGAATTAAACTTGCCCCTTTTTTAGAGTGGAAAATCAACATATATGAAGCAAATTGCACTACTACAAATTATGGCCCAGATTGGCTGTTATGTCCCTGCTGAATATGCATCATTCCGAATAACTAATCAATTGTTCACAAGAATCGGAAGTGATGATGACATTGAAACAAACTCGTCAACATTTATGTTGGAAGTAGGGCACATTTGATACGTACAATAAAAGGGGAAATAGAGGTCCTTTGACGTAGTATCTTGAGCTAAGACCAATACGGAAAACTTAGTGAATCCCAAAGTGCAGACTTGCGTACTTTGTATTTTTTCGTAACTTCGAGTTGGAAAGCCTCATTTAATTGAATTTCTTTCGACACGAGTAAAAAGACAGATACAAATATTCATCTATAGAATGCATTTGCCGTCATTATATCTTTTATGTTGTTTAATTTTGCAGATGAAAGAAATTAATTATATTCTACAAGTAAGTGAAAAATTGCTTGGTAAGTTTCTCATAAAATTTAATGTTCTTCTTTGAAACTAGTTTCAACAAAGTTTTTCAGCTCAGAATAGCATGGTTGATAAAAAAATGTTGGTATAACCCTGTTGTAAAGAGTACGTTTATTATGACTTTTGATAGCAGGCAGATTAATGGTTTAAAAATACAGACATTGTTTGAACAGTGGCTGCACATTACGAAAACTGTACCTTTTTTTACAAAATGATATCGTTTACATTGTCGTATGGGTAATATTTGAAATAATGAAATCATGATAAGTGACATTTGCAATTATCAAAAAAAACTATGCCAAGCTTGCGAACAGGCAAATTTGTGCTCATATTTTACTGAATAATTTCAGGTTGAAAAAGATTTAATATTCTCCCTTTTACTATTTCTCACAGAACGTAACACCTGATTCATTAATCATAATTGACGAACTGGGTAGAGGTAAAATTTTCTCCGTATTTTTGGTAGTGAAACAAGTGTGTTTTGTATTTAACTCCGTTTAATTTGATAGAGTGTACTTTGAATGTTTCAGGAGATCAAACTTGAAAAAATTTGCTACGAATAGTTATCAAAATAGTTATAGTCCAAAGAAAAATATATTAAATTTATTTACCTTGTCCAAACGTATATTCTTTGAATTATACAATATATTATTGCTATGTTATCGTTATCCTTATCTTATTGTGGCAATTTTAACTGTTGAAAAAATTATCCTTCAAAAAATTATGTATTATGAAAATTTTGTCGAATTGTAATTTATTAAAAAGAAACGTAAATTTGGCATCATTTTAAGGTACGAGCAGTGAAGAAGGACTTGCCATATGCTTTGCCATTTGCGAAGAGCTTCTCACCAAGAAGGTAAACCCTGGTGCTTTTCTATACCTCTGGAAGTATCCATTTAAATTTTTTCTACATTTCCTCAAATTTTACACTCTCCACAAGAACATAGCATTTCAGAAAAGGAATTTCGAATAATTACAATAGACAGCCCAATAGTTATAAAATTGGAATATTTTAATAATTTAATTGTAATAATCGTTGTTTGCGATACCAACATACGCCACTGGCAACAGTCAAAATAACATAGAGTCGTGTTAAGTTCACTCTAACTCACTTAATTCGAGCAAACTTCATTTTCTCCTGATGTTTTTAACTCTGATCTTGAAACGCCGATGTAAACCTTAAATTCGTTGAAAGTGTAAGATTTCTTTCAAATATCTCGATAGCGTTACAACCTTGAAATTTGAATTCATATATGCAGCTTATATAAAGGTAATGAAAATATAAAGTATGGAACTTTCTATGTATTTGAACACACTTGAACTATTTGTATAGACTATAGTCATTTGTTCTGAATCATGATTTTATATATATATAAATCAAACATAATAATTTTATTAATTGTTAAACTAAAATGCGCCCAGAAATAAAATGTACAGCAATGTTTGTACATTATAGTGATATTTTAACATGCAAAACAAGTTTAGTAAAAGTAAAAAAATTGAAAAACCTTCCATGTAACTCTTGCAACACGATGCAATAATTTAATTGGTCAAATTTTACCCTATTTTAGCATTATTGTAAAACCAGGCTAAAATATATACAAGTTAATATATATCAAACATCTGCAACACCCTCTATATATTTTGTTTTTTTCTAGTTGATTACGCCATAGAATCAAAATAATTCTGAAATGGAGTCAAAATATCACTAATTGAATAATTACATCTTGTTTAGTTTTTGTAAAAGTGCAACTCATTTGAAAGTTGACACATGAAAATCTTCACGCCATTAAACAGGTTTATCTTAATCTAAAATTGCTGCTATATACTGCTTCTAATTTCAATTTTTTACTACTACTTTGTCATTATTACACTGATTGAAAAAATCAACTTACATTCCTGATCTTTTAGTTGAACTGCTACATGCACACCAAAAAGTTCATGAACTAGCTACATGCACACCAAAAAGTTCATGAATTTCTTGCAATGTGAATACTTACTTTAAATAAGAGTAAAGAAGCGAATTAAAAAAATAAATGCAGTCGAATTTGGTGCAATTTTAACACAACATTGATTGTATTGTGAATATTATACTCCAACGGCGTAAATAGTAGTAAAAGAAACTTAAAATTGCACCATTGTATTGGTGTCACTTAAATCAAATACACACGAAATATAAATTATGCATTATTGTCATGCTTGGATGCATTTTTGTGTGTGGAGGGGGGGAAAGGTGGAGAGGGGTGGTCGTAGGTGAAACTGTATCTGGCAGACAAAATCAGTAGTGTCATGTTTCTTGGAAAGTCAGTTAGCTAGGATAATTGAAAATGTGCCGACATCGCCTTTCTCCCTTAAAAGAAAACTAGCTGGTACGCCAATAACTTTGTGTGTCAATTATAATTGTGTGAGACACACGATTTAGAAAAACAAGCAATACATGTGAAAGTGCTAGCTAATATTTTTTTTTGGGGGGGGGGACGCAATTCTACACCACTTTACTTGCTTGCACTGCTTGCCTGAACGTAATAATATATTATATATGTGATTCTACAGTTATTTTAATATTTATTGTAAGCATTGTATGTACCATAATCATGTAAATAAACAACTGTCGAGACTCTCTGAATAATCTTCTCCTATTTATTTTCATATTTACTTATGTAGCAGTTAGGTATTTTCCTTCTTATTGAATGTTTACAAATTCTTGCTCGTTCTTTCTTCAGGCATTCACATTTTTTGCAACCCATTTCTTGGAATTGACTACAATGGATGGAATGTACCCAAACATTGAAAAGTAAGGCTACCATTCATACATAGATAATACATTAATACCTTATGTCTTTAAACAGTGCGGGTGACCATATACAATTATCTGACTTAATCTTTACTGACTAAGCAAGAAAATTTTCAATGTCTGTCATTACAAATTATGTTTTTTCAAAAAATTTCACCTTTTGTAAACTTTTAATTGCCCCCGTGCAATCTGTTGATTTTGGAGTTCAGTCGTTGGTTGTGATGTTACATCAATCTTTTTTTATGAATATCAAAAAATTTCATTGATCGACATTTCATCGACATGTGCAATCTAAAATGATGGCATCCAGAAAAAAGAAATTCGTCATTTTTCAGTACTTATACTATGATTGCATCCAATAGCTTCTAATGTCTAACTTAATTATAAATTATTTTGTAATTGTAAGTTATTTTGCCTTTCGCTAGAACCGCCTTTAGATGGATGCATTGTGATTTAATGGATCGTTTGTAAAGAATGATTAATTAATTGCCCAATTTGTGTTACCCCCAAAATATATTGCTCATATTGTCTTTGTCTTCTTTTCGATTAATGAAAATATTGTTGAAAAAATAATTTATAATTGATTTAAAGTAATATGCAGTTATCATTCTGGTTCAATTAATTTTGTAGCTAAATTACTCGTGCACTGATATTTTTTGTGTGCCCTTTTTTTTAAGCTATCACATGGAAATAAAGGTATTGATCAGTTTTTTTCTTGTTAGAATAAAATGATAACAATAAACAATGTTTTATTTATTTCGAGCATGCCGACTTGCAGTTTTAGTAGCCCGAATATTGATTAAATCTGGCTCAGTAAACTTTACATGTGATGAAAAACATTTAACAACGAATTGTTGTTTTCGTAGAGGGCGATGAAAAATAAGACTGGTGCCGAGAAAATATCCTATACTCACAGTATAAACAAAGGAAGCACCATGGAAAAACATTACGGTAAGATTACTTCGCAAGACAGTCAATCAACTTGAACATATCACTGGTGAAAGCTTATGCAAAATTATTAAATGCATGGTGTCCCGCACAATATATTTTATGGTAAAAAAATTTTTTTGGGCTTTTCTGAAACAAAAGATCCGTTACCTTGCTAATTCATTAAAGATCAATTGAGTTATAGAAACATTTGTTGAAATACTCGCATTTCGTGCTCGTGTTTGCCACATAATTTTTCGTTTATCCCAAACTTCCCCACGTGTTTATCTATAAAAACTAGGAAAATTTTGTGTTTATATTATTTACAAAATAAAAGGAAAAATACTTTACCAATATTCAATGACGTCTTGTACTTTTTATACTCCATACACTTAATTCAGTTCATAGAATGTGTTTATTTGTTCATACCTGAACAGGCTGTTCTGTTCTATTTTTCTTTCGAAGAATATGGACAATTAATCCTTTTTATAAAAACGACAAAAACCTGCAATAAAACATAATTGCTTGAAACTGGTGCGAATAACACAACTGCCTTTAATTTTCCTTTTACACAGGATTGGAATTGGCCAAAGTGTCGTCACTGCCTGCAGAGATATTGGAGTATGCAGAATTTTTGTCAATTCACTTTTCAGCAAGGAAAAAGGTATAACAGTCTCTTAAATATTAAAATAAAAACTTTATTGTGGTAACACACTTAAAAATTGTTTTAAAAAGAGCAAATGCAATGGTGAATGTTCAAAATTCTAACGTAATAGTTCTTAAAAAACTGTTTAAAACAAGAACACTAACTCAACAATTCTAAGAGAACAGTTTTTAAAGTTGAAAGACACAATGCAGACCATTCATCACGTGTCAACGTATGCTAAATGAGAACGTCAAAATCATGCAATAATTACAATGGTAAGAAAAAGTCAACGTCAACTCTAATTTGGGAGATGAAGCTTAAAACAAAGATAAATTAAATACGTTTTCCTTTTATCTGAAGAGGACGGAATTAGTCAACTTAATTATTACTGACTCAATGACGCGTAACTGAAATGACGAGTGATATTTTTTAATAACTCTAAAATTAGGCATTTCAAGTGTACGACAATTTTCTTTAAAGTAAACATGTTTCGGCATGCTTATACCATCTTCAGTACAAGCAATAAATATGATTTCTATATACAGTTATATTTATAAAAGTTAAGTAAGAGTGTATCGAATTACTAGATGATGGAATTATTTACAAGTTGAATATCGTGCTGATGTGATGTATTTGTTTATTGAAGATGGCATTAGCATGCCAAAACATGTTTACTTTAAAGAAAATTGTCGTACACATGGAATGCCTAATATATATAGTGCTTTAAAGAAATTATGGAAACTCTAAAATTATGGTCGTTATATGTATTGTTACAGTGAGTGTTACTCCAGAGATGTTTCCCAATCATTGAGTCACATGAAATGAAATTTTCACCCTTACAATCACGTTTCAGTTGTTGTTGTTGTAAAGGAACAGTTTTTTTTCTGATAGAAGCTGGTACATGTTGCTTTATTGTATCGCTTAACCTTCGAGAAGGTTTATCCACATTGCGGGCATCCTTCTCCTAGACTACATTGCTTGACATTTGCCCTAGCATAGATTTTTTCGGGTGGATGGTAGAATAATTTTTCAAAAATATAAAGACAACGTTACTTGCAAGAAAACTATCAGTAATATTCTTAGTTTCCCTCTCGATGTCATTTGAGGCATAACCCATTTCAGGGAAATTTGAGAAATGCAGGGCACTGGTCTGCCCAATAGGTTTATCTCTTTCATTAATGAATCAGACTATCAGCTTAGTTAAAACGCTTACGTGTTTAATTTAACTCTTTTTCAAGTTAACTTTTTTTAACATTAAAAGTATCGCATGACTTTGAAGTTCTCAATTAGCACACGTTGACATCTGAGGAGTAGTCTGCCGAAATGAGCAGTGTCCTTTAGCTTTAAGAACAGCTCTTTTAGAATGGTTGGGTCACTGTTCTGATTTTAAACAGTTCTTTAAATATTACGTTATTATTTTGACCATTTACCATGGTATTTGCTCTTTTTAAAACAATTTTGAAAAAGGTATGTTACAATGATATTAAGTATAACTTAGTCTAATCAATAAAACTGTTTAAAAATTAATCATAAGATTTTAGCAATTTCATTAGTCGACACCTATGATCTATAAGAGGACAAACGCAACGATTTAATGTAACAGAAATATATTGTTTTCAATTACATACGAACGGCGAAGTTATTTGAATATTTACCTGAATTTTTCCCTGAATGGGGAAATGAAGACATTAAGAATATCTAATTGAAGCAGTTGACATATTCGGGCACAAAGAAAAAAAAGGTTTTCAAACGTTGATTTGTACTTCGTCTTAGATAACACAGTTTCAACAAAATTGATGAGCCATTTCTTGTTTCCGTAACTGCGTAAAAGCACTATTGATAATGCGCATTTAATAAAAACGACAAGTTTTTTTAAAATAAACATGTTTCAACATCTCATGATGCCATCTTCAGTATAAAGTGTATTATGTATGTGATGAATATATATAAGAGTAATATGACATATAAGAGAAATGTAATATGTTTTCAGTCACTGTCGGAATCTTCATTAGCTGCAAAGAAAGACAGAGCCGTGTTCCGCCTCGCCAGCAAGCTAAAACAAGCTGCAAGGAATTCATGCTTAGACAAAAAAACGCTATATGCATATTTTAAAGGTCTTGGAGTACAATATTATAGAGGCGTTGATGCCAGTGAGGAATAGCTTCTCGATGAACTAGTTTTAGGGTGAACGCATTGTTTTTTATAGTAAACATTTGCTAAAATTTGAAAGACATTCTCGTTATTGTATAGCCAATATCTCCACTCTGCAAACTTTTTGGAACTAACTATAATTATATATCTACTTATTTAATTGCAAAAATTGTACTTCGAATAGGCTATAGTTGTGAGGAATGCAGAAATAATTGAAGAAAGAATTTATGCTTTTTATTGATGTCACCCTCGCGATTTCTCTTATATTATTGGCTATCTCTTATAAATACTTATTGTAGATCACTTGTATGATAAAGTATTACTGAATTTTGTTCGTGTGTTTTCTTAAAGAGTATACATTTTAAATGTAAAGATAAACTGAATAAATAATTAAACGTTTAGAATTCGACTATTGATGTGACTTTAACGCGCTAATGTGGTGTAGCTAAGAAAGTGTAAAACTAAATTTTTTTGCAAATGTAGATCGTCCAGGTTGGTATAGTCCTGAGAAGGACAGTTTTTGTTGGTGTTGACTGACGTTTCGACAACCTTAGGGGTAGTCATCTTCAGAGTCAAATGACAAAAACAGTCCTTCTCAGGACTATACCAACCTGGACGATCTACATTTAAAAACATGTAACGATACTCCCGGGTTCAAACCATTTACTTTAAAGTTTAAAACTGTTAAAATGCGTAACACTTTGAAAACAGTTGACGGAAGAGCAAATGTTTTGGACTTATTGTGCAATTATCTTGATGTTTTTAACTTAACATTTTGGCGTTTCACAGTTGCAGTTTTAGTTCGTTTTAATACAAAGCATAGTTAGCTTTAATCATAAGAGTCAATTGCTTTGTTGAACTTTTGAATATACTTTTCCACTATAATTTTTGTAATTTTATTGTAAAAAGTAGTTTTGAGTTGAGGTTTGTATTTAGCTACAACAGGCCTCAAATTATGCTTTGATTATGCTTTTATCATCGAGTGAAACAAATACCACGTGTGCGTTTGACAACAGTTGTTATGCAAAGTGAACTAGACTGTTTGAAGGGAGTACTGAGTTTTCAGACAATCAGTGTCCCAACATAGAAAAAAACGTATATCAAAAATAGTGTAATTATATGTAAATGAATAAGCGATTGTACTATTTCTTTATTAGAATGTAAATGCTGACTTCAAATTTATGAGAATTATTGCTAATTATAAATATGATGTCGAATGCACTACATTAATTAGTGCATTCGACATCATATTTATAATTAGCAATAATTGCAAAATCCAGATGTTGAATTTTATGTCCAAGAGAGCTAATAGTCTAATAAATAGCGCTCTGTAGACATGCTGCAGAAAAATTGACAAAAAATAGAACAACTTTGCCATTTGCCACATAAAGCTAAATAGTGTGGATGAATTTTTCTGCAACATCATGGTTCAAACTTTAATTTGATACGTTTTAGAACGAGACAACAATGAACAATTTCACCTTATCGGATTTCGCAGAAAATTGCATATTGACCAAAATCTCGAAGATTTATTGAATGAAACAAAGACAACGGAAATATTTAAGATAAATCTTCCGAGAGTTACTGAAGTAATAAAGCTTAAAAAGACGCCAGCTCTAGCGTTAACTGAGAAATTCCAGTACAGTAAATATATCCCAGTATCAATTTCGTGACAAAATTGCTATCCTACTTTAAGGGATACAGCAAATACTGAAGGCACATCTGCAAGTCATTTTGACAAGTGTACCTTAATTCTGAAATAAAGTAAACCATTATTTTTTGCTGCCGTGGCGTAGCAAAAGTAGGAAGGCGAGGGGGGATTTTCATTTATGTGCATATCCTACAGTATTAACTTCCTTTAAAATAAATTGTTTTCCACAGATATTAGCACTATCATACAAAAGCCCCTCCCAAAAATGATCAAAACTAGCTGTAACTCTGTCTTGCCACAGTCATCGTGGTGTAGCAATTTCATATAACTGTGTCTCAAACTATTGGGTAGAATGTGAAGCGATTTGGCATTTATGTAATAACTGACATTAACATTCATACAGTCATTGGTATTAAATTCATTTAGACATCGGTATTGACATTCATCCGGTCTTTGGTATTGTCATTTGTATAATCATTGCTATTCGCATTCATATGACTATTGGTAAGTGTTCATATAATCATTGGCATCGGTCAGAGTAAAAACACTTAGTTTTATTGACGACATGGCAAAGCTGGGAACCATTTGCATTTCAAACTAATTATTCAATGCAGTTACATGCATAGTCATGCACTAATTCAATTTATTTTAGTAATATTCAGTGTAATGTGCTACCATATGTATGTAACAAGACACTTAATTTGTAGAGGCGAACATCAATACACATTCATTCTTCACCTAAATGATTGCTAATCTATAGCTCAAATTCAAAATCATTTCAAAAAGGGAATGATATCTGAATCAAGTGGTACATTCACAATGATGTATGTACAAACAAAACCGTCAAGTATATTGATATGGACAAAGGTAATCACTATCATATAATTTTGTTAGCTATTTACAAACATCCGATAAGAGTAGTGGACATTGTTATGGGACTTTGATTTTACCGTTAAATATACTAGCTTCGTGTTTAGATATTTGACTCATTCATATTCATATTTTTCATGCATATAACCTTTGTTCTTACTTTGTAAATACCATGATGACATTTACAATAGAAACAAACGAACAAGTAAGAATAAAGCCTACATAGTTACTCGGTCACAAAAATCAACCATTTTGCTTCGTTGTTTTACATACTTCGTGTTTTAATACGATACAACGCAATGAAAGATTTACTGAGGTACATTTAGATAAACTTTGGTAGTATTATACTTATAAATTTGACCTTAGTTTAATGACACGTTTATTTACATCTTTCGAACCTTTAACACAGAATTAGACATCTAACAGAAAGCCCACTCGCAGTGTTGCCAGATGTAATTTTAAAATATTCTTGTTCGCTTGCGCAAAAGTTCACAAAAATGGCAAAAATTCATAGTACATCTAATTTTAAATCTGAAATTCAAGGAAAACCTCGGAAACTGTCAAAAAATCTCGGAATTATTCAGAAATTATCAGAAAAAATGAGATTATCTTGAAAATTGTCGTTGTTTTGAAAGAATTGTCGAGCTATGAAGATTATCCTTTCATTGAACATAATTTATGTATACTTTCTTTACGAATATGATAAGGATACAAAATTCATAAAATTTTAAATAGTTCGCAAAAAGTCCACAAACTTTTAATATTCATGAAATGTTCATGAAGAGAGCAAAAAGTTCACAAATCGGTGAACTTTGTTCACGATCTGGGCTAAAATCGCGGCGTATTTTTCACTACGCATGCGCGACTTCTCAGCAAGATACTTTCACAAAATCGATATGGAATAGTTTTGCACGAGAATGCTATTTTACTAATAATTCACGTTTAAAGCAAAAGTTTGCCAAAATTTTTACAAAATGTTGTCATCTTGCGAAGACGATAAGGTTCCAAGCTTCTGTCGTGCTTAGCGATTTATTTGTAAAAACATTTATATTTTCTATTGCGATCTAGCGAAAGTATCTTGCTGGAAGGCATGTCTCTTTAGAATTTGCTTCAAAAAAGTAGGGAACACTAACATCAAATGTTCCAACACCAGTAGACCTTCTCTTAAGATATCTATTTTGTGCTTTAAAGCTCATTTGGACAATTCTATCTTGTGTTATTTTAAGACACGATATTTAATCGAAGAGTTTATCTGTACGAGCTTCAAAAGGTTAGGCAAATTGTACGTAATTCGGACGGTATTTTGATTACTTTGAGTCTATTTTATAATGTAACGTTGGGTTGCAGAATGGTTAGATTCGGATCGTCATGTCCCTCAGTTTATGCACTAGTGCAACAAAATCAAACACATTCCGCGTATTATTATTATAGTATATATATTTAAGCATAGGGAGTTTACAACATTCTTACGATAATGTTCTATTTGTTCATCTATATTTTCATCTTATCTGTCTGTCGGCTATTCTATATTTTGTCGTGCATTTATATACTAACTAAAGTGAGTGTTCGCGGTCATGTCCTGCCCGTAATAGTGGGATAACTCTGTTCCTTCTAAGCGCGTTTTAGTGCTTTCATGCTTTGTGGTTGCGCTTTTGTGGTTAGCTTGTAGCGCGTTGTTGTGTCTACTTACATCTTTATATGTTTATAACCATCTAACTGATGCCTTGTCGCGTTTACACGTTTCAAAATTCCCGTGAACGTTCACACTTTACCGTCGGTTGTTCCCGAACAACTACTACCACACAATTGGAAGCTGTAACTTCTATTTTACAACAATCTAGTTTGCAGCCATCGTCAGTCCCCACTTATCGTCGTGCTTGGAAGTTATACCAACAATTTTCGCACGAGGCTCTTCAAAGAGCTTTAGTTTCACTTCCCATTTCATCGACGGATCTGAGTTTATTTATTGCTTTCCTGTTCCAACGTAAATATGCGCCTTCTTTGGTGCCTGCATATGTGTACGCCCTGGGGTACTGTCATTGACTGGAGGATTACCCTGACCCTAGTAAAGCTTTTTGGATTGTTCAAATTTTAAAAGGCCATAAAAAGATAGGAACTCAAATTGATTCTCGGTTGCCAATTACTTTGCCCTTACTTAGCAGTATTCTGCAGAATATAGCAACAATAACTTCCACTGTCTACGACAAGAGGCTTTTTTAAGCATTGTGCACCACTGCATTTTTTGCCTTTTTACGTATAGGTGAGATTGCAACTTGCCATAAATCACCTTCAGTTATCAATATTAACCAGGTAGTTGACGTGGTCGATGAAACTAATAAAACAATCGAAAGTAAGATAACATTAAATGACTTCAAGCATGCGTATAACGTACGACCTGCCGTTCTGACGTTATCACGTCGCTCAGATATCTGTCCAGTTCAAAGCTTGCTGGATTTCTTTTCTATTCGAGATTTTTCTAATGGAACGTTGTTTCAACTAAGTTCAGGCTACCCTGTTCCACGCACTTTATTTACCAATTTCTCAGCTTCAGTGCTTAGAGCGTGTGGCCTGGATCCATCCAAATACAAAGGGCATAGTTTTCGGATCGGAGCAGCTACGTTTGCAGCAGAGCGGGGTTTTTCTGATGCCCAGATACGTGCGATGGGTCGTTGGCGATCGGATGCATTTCACAAATACATTAGAGCTACAAGTTTAAATGTTTCTTCCTTGTAATGGCTTGGGACTTACGGTGGCTGCATTCTTGTTTGGCAAGACCAATGACTGTAGTACAAATTCTGTTGTAGTTGTGGTTAGGCAAGATGATCTTAATTGCTGTTATTTAACTGATGCAGCAGCCGGCTAGCGGCTGGCTAGCGGCTGTATGATTT